TTTGTAACTGCACCCACGACATAGAAGAAAATCACTAGTGTGGGGCAACGTTTTTTATAAAAAAGTATTGTTTACTTACTTATATTTGTAAGTATAGATCATAAAACCATCAAGTATTGTTTTGTCATTCAGTAAAAAAAAGAAAAGCAATAAAAATACTAGCAGCTATTTTTATTTGTATCGTAATTTTATTGTCAAGGATAAATGCCTTACACAACGCGACTTAAAATTGTTTCTGTCGTGGCTTCAAACAATTGTAGAAAAAGCTAGTTTATGATTGGGTAGTTTTACGAATCACTGTCATCACATCAACAGACAACATTTCGTGTCATTCATAGCTGGACTACGGGTCTTTTATACATAAAACCATGATATACATAACCTCATGTGGGGGGAAAATCATGAAATATTTTATCTATATAAGGCGAAAAGGAGTGTCAACACTTACTTACTAAAAATCACCTCGTTTTTTCTCCGACTCCAGTCCGAGGCCACGGAACCTTATTGCGTTTAACGCGCAACAAAACCTCCATGCTCCACAGTTTAAAAAAAGTTGAGGTAGACGAAAAGCGTTGATACTGCATGATCTCAGTTACGTATTGGACATAATCCCTTTCGCTCTTACGACGTATGCACAAAGAGAAACTATGCCAGAGGTAACAAATGAATTCTAGTCTGTACCGTTTCCATACGGCTATAGGTGCATTGAGTATTCATTGTCCCTGTACTAATCGAGCGATAGGAAGTAAGATGCTTATCAGTTTGTTATCACACGCCATTGGGATAGTGCGTCGTATGTCAACATAAATAACATAACGTAAACATAGATAGGGCGATAGTTAAAAGCTTTTTGTTTTATTTAATTAATTAATGTTTAAAGATAGACTAAAATTGAAACGATTATTAAACTGTACAAGTGTAAGCCAACCATGCTTAGACACGATAGGACCATCCCGCCCGTAGTGATTGATATCACCGCCTTATAAACTTCGGGTGTGGAACAACATCGGAAGTTATCGGTGGCCCAATTCTACCCTTTTCTAAGCTCAATCCAAGTCTCTTATCCATAAATCCCTAACAACCAACAAAAGGCTGGTAACGCATTCGTAAGTCCTTTGGAATAAAATTGTAGACCCTACGTCTAATATAATACTAATATAATGGTAGCATTATATTCCTATTATACCTACATATACTATATCTGTGTAGATACGCTTATCACTGGCAACTATTACTTACTTATTACTGTTGGTAATGAACATGTTATTGAATGAAAGAATAATCAAAATACATTGCTTATCGTTCAAGAGTATCGTAAACGTAAAAGCTCTAAAGATTTGGACTCTCACCATTTATCCCAGCGCTTGAACACACCTCGCAATTCAAATCACTGCTGCATTACCTTAGCTTGTAAATAATTCAAAGGATCTGCGAGGTTCATATGTTGAATAATTTAAAGCCATAGCCGTGTTATATAGCAGCTTTCACAGTACAATTAATAGCACCTGCACGGAATAATTATACGCATAAAAGATTTTACGACATCTACAAGGAAATAAGCTAATAATAACTTGCATTTGTTAGCGACAACTTGCGTGCGATATTCCGTTCGCATTATAGGATTTACGTTGTTATTAATATCAAAGGAAACGATTGAATAACAACATTTCCGACAACAATTGTCATGCAATATTTTAATTTAATGGAATTTTGTCAAGTCATTTCTTAGATTAGGTACTTATCATCGACAAAAAGTTAGCTTGGCAATGTTAATTTATGTTAGTTAACTACAGTAATAAGTTCGCTAAATATTATATGGGACTACACTAGATCTTTTAAACCGTACGAGGAACCGTAATCAACTATCAGTGACCCATTGTAAAACTTTAATACTACTGAAAAGGGGCATTAGCAAGCAATTATCTCTTTCCGCACTATAAAAGTGCACCCAAGTATACATACATGCCCGAGCGTACGGCGCGTAGCGTTTGCGCGCCTCAAAGAGCCAATAGACCACCACAGACGGGGCCTTAAAGGGCTGATGTTCAGCCGGGGTTGCGGGGTAAGCGCAATGAGGCACCGCGACCTCGGCCCAGAGCAGGAGAAGGAACAGGGAATTTTTAGTCAGTAAGAGTCTGACACTCCCTCCCGCCCTTAACTATACTATATATGCGGATACTCATCCATTTTTACGTAACGTATTACCAGATAAAAGCGGAGTTATTATACACAATAGGACCAAAACAAACATCATCATGATGTTATGCACGACCTAAAGCCTATTTTAATGAACCACCCTTAATCAGATTTCGGCTTAGCATCGATTCAATTTCAGCCTACATCGCAAAAAGAGGTGTTATATTGACCTGTCTGTCTGCTTGCGTGTCTGTGGTACCTAAGCTTCTAAATTGGTGAACAGATTTTAATGCACTTTTCGCCGATTTAGATCTTAAATCGGGAAAAAACAGTGCAATTTCGAGAAGGAATCAAAGATTTATGCAAGTTAACTATTAAGATTAACTATCCAAACATTTATTTTACTTCAAATACATAAATAGAAAATAGAAAAAAATAACATTTAGGTACAAAATATACAGATCAATTAAGTGGTCTATCTTGATTAAAACCTTTTTTGTCAAGATAGCTAATATAATATTACCTATAATTTTTTTAAAGCCCCACATTATTATTTTCTCCTGTGTCGTGGATGCGGTTACAAACATATAATTGTCACATACTCATAACATTTAGACCCGGAACAACAATTTGTGGATCACACAAAGAGTTGTTCCGTGCGGGAATCGAACCCGCGACACGTTGCACGGCACCCAGTTGTCATGTTTGCCAATATATTTTCGAATAATATGTTTTTAAATCTCGCTCGCAAATTCTCCATTGAATAAAAACCAGATTGATAGGTAGTTAAAACCCTTCATAATCCTTCGAATCAAAAGGTGGATATACTCAACAAAGTGATATGCAAATGATTTTGTACGGCGGCACGCGATATTAGCATGTCAATTGTGGTTCACCAGTACAAAGCCGTTTTGTGTTTTACTAATATACACACATATATGTATTGATTGTAAGGGTGTTCGTAATATTACTTTGTATGAACGATATTTAAATGGATTTGTGTGAAATGTTATATGTTTATTTTGGACTAGCTAGTCTAGCGCGGTTTCCTCCGCTGCTCGGCTCCTACCAGTCGTAACGCGATGTTTTATAGTCTATAGACTCTTTTAATAAATTGACTAACAAACACAAAAAGAATTGTTCAATTCGAACCAGTAGTTCTGGAGATTAGCACGTTCAAACAAACACACTCTACAGGTTCATAATGTATAGATTTAGAAACAGGAGGACAATGGTTTTTGTATTTTTAACCCCATTTTTAAAGAGGGGTGTTATAAGTTTGAGGTGTCTGTCTGTCTGTATGTCTGTCTGTCTGTCTGTCTGTCTGTGGCATCCTGGAGCCTGAATGAGTAAAGCAATTTCAATTTAGTTTCTTTTTTATTAAAGGTGACTTACGCGCGTGTGTTCTTAGACATGTTTGACGAAAATCGGTTGAGCCGTTTAGAAATTATGGGGGTAAGTGGGGAAGGGTAACCGAAAGTCTGCAAATATACTCGAGTGGAGTCTTAAATGAAATCGCACTGCAAAGGAATGTTAATGACTTAGTCGAGAGAAAATGATATAAAATACCTATAAGAAGTATAAAATAAAAAAAATTGGACCCCCGACAAAATAGAAATATGTAGTAGATAATAAATTGTTCGGATCGGTCCCCCAACGCCACGTTTTTTTTAATTACTACTTTTTAAAGAAACATTAGATTTTCTGTAGGGGGTTTTTTAAAATTTAATTTTTAAATATGTTATAAAAAGAACTATCAAAATTCTGATTAAAATGTTGTCAAATTTATAAAAAAAATACCTTATTAAGTTTCATAACATATATTTTTATAATAGATTATGTAACTGAGTGTGTATGTGTAATTTTATAATACAAAATCCTGTTGTAGAAAAATATAGCAGCAGATTAAAAAAATCTATTCCGCAAAATACTCAATACTTCGTAGTGACTGAACACTTAGTGTGAGATTTCTGAGTTACACTTTCAAGGAACTGGTTGCAATTATATAGTTATTATAACGTGGTCGCAGGTTCATTTTCAATTATAATAGTCTCCTATTACAACGGTTCGAGGAATTAAAGGTACACGCTGTCTCGTACTAATTGACAAAACCATTTATTTATAGTTTCCATATAACACGACCACTACTAAAATAAAAAAGGTTAAAAATAATTGCGAACTATTTCGTTCTCGGAATCAATTTTAACACGTGATTACGGTTATTCTAACGAACATTAGGTCGAATTTCGAATAAACTTTTTACAATACCTTTCTTTATAAGTGTGTTGGGCCAGCTTTTACGATGTTTTTACACGTCAATCAAAGGGGTTAACTGAAGGTTGTTAAAAACCACAGATTTCTTCTGTGACAATATCGGATGTCAATTTCATTATTGTTTTTATTGTTGGTGTTTTTTTTAGAACTTGATGCAATTTCATGGATATACAATATAACCTAAATAAAAAATTTTAAAAGAATAATGTTTTACAAATAAAATGTGAAATTTTTAAATGGCTCAATCTTATGCTCTGTACAGAAATTGAACGGTAATTGGATGGTAGTTCGTAGCCGCCGGCTACGAACGTAGAAGCTAGCTACGGCGTAGTCTGCTACGGAATACGTAGCCGCAAATACGACGCGGTTCCCTTATAATTTCTATCCGATAATGTTTTCGGGTTAAACAAATGCTGAAAAACTATTCCTAAATTTCCGGGTCAATATATTTTATATAGGGCTTTGTTTTATCAAGATCAGAATAGCATTAGTATACCTACTAAGTAAAAATATAAGTTGTCTCGCCGGTATACGTACTTAATTATATTTTTTTTCGCAACTTATATAGAAACCATAATTGAAACCTAATTTTATTTTGTATTCGCAATAGGAATAGTTTCCAGTAACAGCTTGTACATATACAAACAAGCCTAAAAGAAGAAAGATTAATAAGCTTGGTTTATATCTATTTCAACAGCGGAACTCTGAAATCCGTAGTGAACTTCCTGACCTTTTTGTTGATACAAAGCTGAAGGTCTTTGTGTTATGCTAATGTGGAACTAGCCTAGTTCCAAATATCAGTTGGCCAATCTAACTAACGACCAAAAAGGGAATGTGCCTACATTTTTGTTTCACACATCACTACCTATTATACAGGTGGAGTGATTTGCATAGATAGCAAATACAGCTGTTTGTATTACTCTGTGATATCACTTATGTATAACAGCTTCTACTTGCGATTTTCAAATGATAAAATTCAGAATTCGTTATTTTCTTCTCCTTATACATAATTATGTATATAAAAATGAATTGCTGTTCGTTTTTTCCCGCTAAAACTTGAGACAGCCTCGACCGACATGGTTATTGTCATTTTGAAAAAGGTATTTCCGAATATAGAGGGAAGGTTTAAAGGGTCAGACAAAAAGGAGAACAACGGATCACACGGCAAACGAGCTGATTTGGTGATTAGCAACCAGCGCCGCCCATAGACACCCGCAACAAAAGAGAAGTTACGAGTGCGTTGCCGACCATTTGGGGATTAGGGATATGGAGATTCGAGGAAATGAAATAGTAGTTATATTTGGCGGTACGATGTTTGTCGGGTCAGCTAGTAGGTAGTTAATTTATTCTGAAAAGTATAGGTTCTAATTTATGGACTAGCGAATTAAAATGTTGAACTGTTTTGACTTTTGACTTTGACTTTTGGCAAAATTATAGAAATACCAAAATGTCGAAAAGTTTACCCAATGAACTAAAGGAATATTCACATTTATTTTCTTATTTCAAAAATGATTCCACAAATCATTTCATGTTCGTATGTAGTAAGCATTATTCGATGAATGTCTTAATTGCTGGCGATAATTGAAGTCAGTGAAAGTTTTAGTAGTAAGTTGATATTACGGATTAGGTTTTAAGGTAAATATAAACATAGTACGCTGTACCTTTTGTCTTGTAAACAAGCTTATATCCCATATAAAGTATATACGGCAAATAAAACCTCATTTTAAGTGAATAATTGGAACAAGGTCGAATGTCGGGCCGACGGCGTCTGCTGCGACCGATGTCTTCCTTCACATAAAATCGATATAGTAGCAACGGTCGCATCGCGGCACGCCGCCATAAAAAAACAATATAAACACAACATAATCGACACTAGTTAGCAAGTTCGCCCACCTCAAGCGGAATCAGCTTGCGAATGTTGAAGTGACGGCGACACAATTCACAGCGCGGCACTCCCGGCGTTTTCGCACTGTTATTGGTATCGTTTATTACAAATGAACTATGAAAGTGGACTGCACATGCCTTGCGCGCCTATGCATCTTTTACACTGAAGACAAGGACGTAAGTTATGCATTCGTTCAAAAAGTTTGTGAGGCCGCGCGCCAACCCTCCAACTTTACACCGCAGTTTTCTATTCATTATTGTTGCTACTATCGCCTATGTTTTTGTGACACTGACGTCAGTTCACTATTATTACGCGAATGACCATGCAACTCTTCATTTATGAATAGCAGTAAAGCAGCATTAGGTCGCCGATGACCCACTTTCAATAAAATTTATTGCTGACAATAAAACTTTTCACTGTTCTGTTGGAATATTTTAACATAACACGACTAGTGCTAATGGTCAAAATGTAAGAAAGTTCACAAAAGTTTACAATTCATAATTAGCTCGGTACTTTAAATACTTACCGATAGTCCAGGGTTGCAGCCTGACGTGATGGAATTCTTCCTGAACTTGGGCACGCAGATCTGCATTGAGCTCTTGTTTTTAGGGGGCCCAGCACAACCGTACTCATCACTTCTATTGTTCCTCGTCAGATTTATGTTGTTGGTGTTGTTAACTTTCACCAAAATATTACAAGTTTGCGATGCAATTTGAAAAAGACCTTCCTCTAAGTTTCTTTTGTTGTGGTACTGTCTGTTGAAATGAAGATAGTCCCACCAGGAAGGCATTTTCTTTGATGAAACGTGTTTAGTTGAACCGCGGGCTTAGCGAGTCGGCGGCGTGCGTTCGACAGGGCCGCTCAAACGAAGTGACGAGTTCTGCCTTTATGTAAGTCTCAACGTAGACTTGCGCGTTCAACTTAGTTTTTTTGACAATGTACCTGCTCGTACTGTCGCACAGTTAAGTTTCAGTTTTAATTTGTGTATAATTCGTGTTCTCAACTTGCAGAACGTACTTCATAATACGAACTGCCATCCTGCTGATATCATGTGAGAGAAAAGAAGAAAACAAAATATGATTAGGTAGTTTAAATTTAAAAAAACTCCATTAAAGAATTTAAAGTCAGCTAAAAGTAAAAAAAAAAATACTTTTTTGACAGTCAAATATTGCTACGTCTTATGATTATTATAACGAGACTCTTAATACTTTACCTTCGATTCAAACGAGAGACCAGAAAAACATGTTGTAACTACTCAATAGGTATTTTCCTTATTTCAATAAGAGCACCTATTTTCTATGCGACATTACGTTCCGCAGGTGGATGATTAATTAATTCATTCTTATTGACTTTTCGGCGGTACATTCTGATGGATAAATTAGGGAATTCATATGTGAATTTTAACTAGACAGCAGACAGACACGCAAAGCAACAAATTGTTGAATTAATGATAACAAAAACCTTATTGTCCTTCGTGGCGTACAATAACAATCAAACTGTTATTCGCCCAAGGAGGTGGATTGAGATGTACTCACAGTATAAACAAACAAAGACTATAACAAACCTTTTAATCCTTGAAAGAAGGTGTTTGGTAAGAAAGGTCTTTTTTCGTAGGTAACTTTTTCTTACTCTCGAACTTTTCGAATCTTTTTGAAAAGATACGTATCTACCGAAAAATCTTCTTAATCATTTTGGTGCTATATACATATTAATTAATGAGACAAAACTAACTAACGATTATCTTATGGGTAAAACTATGATTCTTTACTCAATCTGCATACTTAGGTAACTAAGTATGTGAATCGTTTTGCCATAAGAGTGATGTTAGCTTAAGCCCAATCCCGTCTTCAAAGTATAAAGATCCAAACTCGATAAAGAAATTACAAATGCGCTGTCGAAATATTGACCAATGGATTATGAAATGGACGTGTGACATCGATTACTTACCACAAAAAAAATACTAAAAGCTTGTAAAAAGAAAGACACCTCGTCTGGCATGTAGTAACATAGTGCAGGTAACAACTATCTAGCTTTACCTATTCGTTATTTATAGATATGTAGGGACTAGGGAGGTATTTTGGTATAAGGAGAAGATATAAATGTATAGTTAATCTAAGCATTTTAGCTAAAACACGCAACAAACAGCAGCGTAAACACGCAAACGCCTACAGACCTGTATTTTTATATTATAAAGTGGCAAACGAGCAGACGGATCAAAATTAAATGATAGTAAGCAATCAGTGAAATTACACCCGTAAAACGAGAGGACTTGCCGGCCTTTTGTGGGTTAGTCGTTTTAGAATTGGGGGAAAAAATAATAAAAACGATTTTTTTAGGGGAAAATCATCAACTGATTTCTCCTGCCCAGGGTAAGGCAAGAAGTGTCAAAATCTTACTGACTATAAACCCCCACGTTCCTTTCTTGCTCTAAGCCGAGGCCCCGCAACCCCGGCTAAACATCAGCCCTATAGGGCCCCGTCTGTAATGGTGTATTGGCCCTTTGAGGCGCGCGTGGAACGCTACGCACCGTACGCTCGTGTCTGGGGGCATGACATTCAAAGTAAGACTGTTTTAATCTTACTTCAGTGTGGGTAAGAGAAACAGCTATACAAGTTGTCTAGCTCTGCTTCTTGGTTCTGGTCGGGCGACAAGCTATCCTTAATTAGGTTTGGGTTCACTCACACGGTGATATACAGAGCAAGTGTTTGTTCCGACCTCCCAAACGCTATCAGTGGTGTATAACGCTGACAACACGAGCGGTAGCGATAGTCGTTGCAAAAATCCGGCAGCTGGGGTTCGAGGTGACACTCCACAAGTCCGAGGCCATGTGTTTTCGTGGCAGTCGAAACGGACCACATCCGGATAGGTCCCGAATAACGGCGGAAGGGTAACCATCGGTGTAGTCAGCGATGAAATACCTGGGTGTACTCGACAACCGGTAGAACTTGGTAGAGCGCTTTCAAATTGGAACAGACTGGAGCTTCGCTCTAACGGTTTCTTATTAACGCAGGGGGCCAGACCTCTGGCGGCCAGGTTGTATGTGGGGATCGTGCGATCTATCGCCCTCTACGGGGCCCCTATGTAGGCCAGCTTGTGCGATGCTTGGGATCTACATCGTCATGGCGATTCGCACGATTCCCTGGGAGGCAGCGAACTCCTTTCCGGATCATCGCCCTAAGATCTGGAGACGAAGTCACTTGCACGCGTCTTTAGTTTGCGCGATGAGGTACATGGTTTGGGCGAAGCTCCGCTGCCGCAGTGCCGCGCCATATCAGGACGTATACTTAAAACACCAAGGCGTCCGTAGTGTAGGTAAGTATACATAAAATTGAAATTCGAATTGTCATTTAAAATAAACGTACAGAAAAAGCAAAAGAATTTGAATTTAAAATTATAGGTGCTTAGGTATACCTAATGCCAGACAACACACCGAAAAAATTATTAAATGACCTCGTATACTCCCAAGACAGTCACTATGGGCGACATGGCCAGTAAAACATACTATTTTTATGTATGTACACGGTACCTATGTACAAAAACTAGACATTTTGTGTTTGTTCATGACTCAAGGTAAAGAGTATTTAAACATTAACGGGTGGGTACAGTACTGAATTAACTATTAGCACCTTCTAAAATAAACCATGTTATTCTTGGAACCACCCTTTGCACAGAATATATTCTGTTCATTTCATATTTTTTTATAGATATTTCTTGTCTCTTATGTTTTGTAGCATAGGCGATATGTTTAATATTGAAGCTATAATGCTTGTTTTTTTTTCAAAATTAATAAAGTCAGGTTATTGTGTAGTCTATGTAGGTACATACATTGTACTGGTTAATCTATTATAAGAGGTAAAATATTATAAGGAGGTAAAATTTGTAAGTTTGTATGTAGAGGGTAATCTTTGGAACCGCTGGTCGGATTGGCAAAATTCTTCCATTGATAGATAGCTACAATGTTCCTGCTATAAAACATCACGCACGATTAAATAGAGCCGAGCAGCGGGTGAAATCACGCGAGAGTAGCTAGTAAACTAATAAGTTAACAGAAATGTATCCAAAAACGTGGGAGCATTTTCAGTCAAGTACAAGTAACGGAACACAAACTATTTGGAGCTACATTTGACTCTTAAAACTTAATATTTTTTTTATAGTACGGGTAATATATACCAAGTATCGTTTTTTCTACTGTATAGATAACATTATAATATAATATATAAAAATTAGGTATATAAATCCAATATTAGGTATCTTAGCCAGCAAGTAAAGTAAAACAAAAATATTAATTGAACACCATCACAATACATGATGATAAATTTTATTACAATTCCATATAAAATAATCTTCCTTATTTTATCAGTTGTACAGAATAGCTCAACTATACATGCAGAAATATATTTGGACCTACAAATTAAAAATAGACCGAGCAATCAATTTTACTGTGTATTCATTAATTTTAGACAGTAACATGATAAATTATTTTTCTTTATTACATTGGAAACTTTTTGTGTCCTCAATGCATTTACATAGATAAAATTTCACATGTTTGTGTCTAACTAGATCCAGACAGTAATTTATGGATTACAAAGAGTTATTCCATGCAAGAAACGACCAATCAACATGTGACAGTAGCTAGTTGCCCAACCACTGCACCTTACAGAAAACATAGAAAGAAGTCAATATAAATGTAAAAAATAGTTCCTGCAACATAATATAGTAGAGCTACACTTAACTTAAAAAGTAACACTAGGGTTCATTCAAAATATCCTTCATTTCAATATCATCAGACACTGACTCTGTGTCATCAGGCTCATCCAGCAATGCTTGTAGTTGATGTATAGAGGTAACCAAAACATGAAACTGTTTTTTTCTTAAAGCTAAACGGCTTTCCAATTGCTGCTTTGTCGACTCCAGATTGGCCAGTTCTGTTTTTAAAGTGCCAAGACGCTCTAAAGTTTCCTTCCTGTCTGGCTGTTCACTGATTACCTTTGCCAGCACATCATACTCTATGCGATTTTTGCGCACTGTCTTTGCTTGAGCCAAATCAGCTTTACTCTTTTCTATGTGACTTTTGGCTACTTCTATTGACTTCTCCAGTACCTTTGACATTGCTTCGTAACTTTGTAACTCAGCCGACATCATTTCTGAGCCTAGCTGCGATTTTGTCACAGCAAATTCACATTGTGCTAACTGGGCTAGCATTCTATCATGCGTTGCTTTACTGAAATTAAAAAGAAATAAGTATAAGTGAGAGTTACCACAGAATGTATTGACTACTATTATTTTATTCATAATTTAATAAATCTGTTGATCATATTCTAACCTTTCTTCAGGTTTGTCATCAGTGCTATTACACCATTTTATCAATGTTTTTAACAGCACGTTCAGTCTTCTGTCGTCTCCTGTACCATCCCCATCTATCAAAAGTCTTCTTCGAATAACATCCTCTGAAAAATAACACGAAATAATTAATAACTCAAACAATCACAATTTTTTTATCACCGATGCTTAAAACTTAACTTACCATCTCCCATTTTGAATGTTACGTTTTGAACGATGAATAATATATATAGGTGGTGGTGAATTAATACTTTTATGTAATATTTTGTAGATAATAACCAAATAAACAAACAGATTAAACGCTCAACGCCGAGCCGAAGAGCGCGTTTTATAATGACATTGACATTAATTTGTTTGACAGTGATTACTAGATTTGTTGCGTTGGAAAACCTATACGCTACGCTATATTTTTAAATCAATTAATGTGCTGTCTTACTGATAATTTGATCGAAACGTAATGTTTTTAAATTGAAGTATTATAAAAACAACTTTACTGTAATTCTACATTCAAACACGATCTTTTTTTTAAATAATTATATTACCTTAAAACGTTCTATACGTACGTATGTATGTAACGTAAGTATTTTTTCTGAACGAAATATTCAATTGTCAGATTTTGTTTTGCCTTTCAGCCTGTGCGAAGAAAATTATGGCTATTTATTGGGATAATTTGATTATTCTTGAGGATTATATCCTGAACATTACAGTATTTACTTAAAAACTCGAACGAAATAAGAGGAGATAATGGAAGACCCCACTTTTAGTGATAAAATAGAAGAGTACCTTTCGGAGCTCGGGCGATGGCTAGTATTTCTTCTGTGAATTGATTAGTTGCTGCTGTTTTTATAAACAAAAGTTTTATATTTTAGTAATCCATTTTCAGGAAAGTGTGGCGTAGCATTCTTTTGGGTCAAGTTTTGTCATTGTTGCTAAGTGGAAAATGTATATTAACCACTTTATTGCAAAGTGCTACTTGGCAGTTTCCCACAACTGGGCAGCTCGTGGTCCCGTACCTAGCACTGTTTATATTGTTCACTCCATCCCTGCTCTGTAATGGGCTCAAGAGCTTGTCCAAGTAAGTTGAACTTTCATTGTGGCACATTTTTTTTTTATTGACACTTGTTTATTTCTTATTTCTAGGTAGGTAGGTTTGGTACTATAAAAAAATAAATATTTTTAGAGAGTTTATTATTACCCACCAGAACATTACTGAAGATTTTGTAGAGATTTTATTATAATTATCCCAATAAAGAGCTATACTACTTATACTCCATTTTACAAGTGTATGCTACTGATTGCTTAAAATAGCTTTACATTTAAAAATCATTACTTATAATTTCCAGAAAATGGTGGGTAGTTATAATAGCATGCACCCTAGATGTGACAGCAAGTTGGCTGTTGGTAATGTCACAGCGCTTTACATCAGTGCTGAGCTGACAGCTGCTAGCCTGCAGTGGAGTGGGGGCTGCATTAGTGGGGGGAGCCTGGCGGGGACAGAGACTCGGAGTAGTCCATGTTGCGGGTGCCACTATGGGCCTGATGGCAGTGGTCTGTGTTGTCTGGGCTGATGTGGAAGGAGCTCCTACTGATGGTATGCTGATGTTTCTATTTCAATTACTTTGCAGTTGCTATTTCCTAGCCTAGTAGCTAGCTAGTAAGAGCTTGAGGGACTAAAGAAAAGTAAACTTCAATACATTCAATTTACTGATTCCCACTGTTAGCTTACAATTTGTAATTTGGAATGAACAACAAACCTAGTACCTGGTAAATCAATGCATAAAAATGCCTAATATTTTAAATAAAACAAAAAGACACAAAACATTTTATAGTAAATAGTTAGAAATTCAGATAATTTTCATCCAATATCAACATAATTATTACATGTTGTAAAATATTTCTTTTTCAGGCAAAAACCAGCTTGTCGGCGACATGCTTTGCTTGGCAGGGTCCCTCCTTTACGCCATGGTCACAGTACTGCAAGAGATGATGCTAGACACACTGTCTTGCTCAGACTATCTAGCTTTCTTAGGTCTCTTAGGCAGTATAGTATCCTGTACCCAAACATTTTTCCTAGAATTTGGTGAACTAATGGAATTCAACTGGTATGATTTGGACACTATAGTCCAACTTGGCAGTTATTGCTCTGTGCAGACAATATTCCAGATATTACAATGTTTTATGCTGAGAGATGCTGGCTCTATTATACTGCATTTGTCATTCTTGTCTGCTGATTATTATACTCTCATAGCTGGGATGTACATATTCCAATTTAAGGTGAGTTTCTTTTGTTTATTTAAATTAGACCATAATTGGCACTTTTGAATGTCAAACAAAATACTTAAATAAATAAAGTCCTTAGTCTGTTCCCCTAAAAGCTATTTGCTTGTTCCAAAGTGTAGATTACTATGGAGAAAAAGAATAAGCAACCAACCTCAATGTTTACTATATTTCAATAACTTTTACAAACAAAATTATGGGTTACTTTGACCCTAGCTAGGGGATAACTGATCCAAAGTCATAATAAACCCCAGAACCAAACATATATTCATTTTTCATTAGATAAGGAGTTTGGATCAAAGTTACCCAGGGTCAAAGCAACCGAAACTTTAGTTCAAGCTTTATTTGGAATATTAATAACTGGCTAATATTTATTACGTTAAGCGCCATGGGGGTCACCGGTGACCTCCGTCAGCGGAGGATTTGCCTTCAACAGATTTCTGTCGGCAGTTAAAGGCTTAAGCATAAATTTATATTTGTGATATAACTTTTACATTTCAGTTCCACGCTCTCTATTTCTTATCGTACATGCTTGCGATGGTCGGCGTGTTTCTCTTCAGCTCTCGACCGACGCGGCAACCACCTCCGCAACCCGACAGACTGCCCCAACTAGTCAACGACTCTGTACAGGCACAGGATAATGTATCTATGTAAGTTATTATTGTATTAATGTTATAATTATTAAGAAGAAGAGCCATGCTTTGGCGTGAACGGGTCGGCTCAACCGGAGAGGTACCACGGCCACACAGAAAACCGGCGTGAAACAACCACAGCGTTGTGTTTCGCCGTGTTAGTGAGGTTACCGAAGACCCTTCTCAATAACTACATCTCCGAAACCCTATCCCAATTTCTCCTCTTCTATTGCGGGTGGTCATTGGCGGCGCCGATTGCATACCATTAGGTAATTTGGTGCTCGTTTATTGACCTATCACATAAAAATTTCCTTCTAAACATTCTAAAATCTTTCCCTTGTCTACGTCTTGATTGTATAAGTTTTTAAACATTATTTTGTCTTCTTTTATATATAAAGTTAAAACATCCCCAAGTTCCTTTACCTGCTCTAGGTCGAGGCCGCGGTGCCTCATTGCGCTTACCCCGCTACCTCGGCTAAACATCAGCTTTATAGAGCCCGATCTGTGGTGGCCTATTGCCTCTTAGGCGCGCGTTGAACGCTACGCGCCGTACACTCGAATGTGGTTGTAGTAGGACGGCGTGCAACCCTTACTCGCCATTCGCAGACCCGCGCTTACGGTGGCCAAAGATCATCTCTCGAAAACATGCCACACTAGTTACTACTCAAAATTTTTCTAAGCTGTAACTATCAGTCACACTGCTTTGATCATACAAAGTCTATGTTCATGTTTTTCTTTCACAGGGAATATACAGTCCCTACTTTGGACTGTATACCTATCGAAGGTTTGGAGCCGCCAATGAGCAGAGACACGACGTTCACATCATTCCTAGGAGGCCCACAAACAGCTCCTAATGGCACCGTTACCTTCGCGCAGACCAATGGAGCTCAAAACTCAAAGGAGGCCTGTTAATGTAAGTTAATGGCGTAGGAAACCTTCAGCTGGAGATGAAAAACCATATACTAAAAAAAAACAAAAGAAAACCAAGTATAAATAAATGAAATCAAAAACATTGTTCACAAACAGTGTATGTATTTATCATTGTTGTACTAATAGATACTTTACTTCCGAGCTTATAATAATATCATGCAGAAAATAAAATCCATCTTTATAACGCAAAATAATATTTTTCTCAATTATTTGACATTAAAAAAATAATCTCCAGCTGTGGACTAAGATAACAGAATATTAATGAAATTAGGTATACCTATTTGTATATTCAGCCCATATAGGTAATCTTTGTAAAAAATGCTTATTTACATACAAATGATAACTTTAATTTCTGACATTGAACTTACTTTTGACAGACATTTTAACTGACTTCGTGAAACTTCTTTTTATAAGTAAATCGTAAATGTTAGCGTTAAATATCACAACATGTTTTAGAATACTAATTTTGTAAGGTCTAAACATCGTGCTAAGGATTCACTGTCATCTTACTAGTCATTTTCATGTAGACATAAAACTGTCCGCCTTTTTTATTATCATAAACATGGCTGAATGTCCATAGCTTCCAGAATAGTCTAGAAAGAAACATTCTAGAAACTATGTGACTTGCAAGAGAAATCTTTACAAATGACCCAAAGAATGTCGCTACCGATGTTGTGCTCACTAGATCTCGCTAGTGATGCCTTTAATCCTACTATTTCAATCCGCGCTACTGTCAGAAATTGCCTGAAACAATTTTATTTTAGCAAAAATTATATTATTTTAATGAATAGACCTAAAGCTACACTAGCGACTTCAGTAGTGCAGGAACCTCAATTTAAATGCACAAAAAAATTAATAGAACAGCTATGTATATGTGTAAATGCTGCTACAATTTTAAATATTCATTACCTTTCCACTGTGCATTCCATAAAACTCCATTAAAAATAAAATAAATATTAGTACCTATCAGTATAACCACAGATTAAAAACAGGTAAAGATTCAACCAAAATATAATTATAAGAGCTAAACAATTGGACTGGACTAATTAAAAAAAGAATGTACTCATCTACTAAATATGTAACCTCACTGAATATTAGATATAGAAACACCAACTACCTAGATTACTAGTCATTGATAGTATAGACTAATATATTAGCGCACATTAAAATTAAATAGTTTTAGTAATTTGTATCTATATGCTCCATTTTATTATACCTATACTTCGTTCAAAATAAGACATTTAAGGAAACCTTTTTGACCGTCCGTTCAACCGACTTTGGCCTTTATTACATTGGTTATAATGGCGGCTAAGGAAAATTGAAAGAAAACGACTTTTCTTTTATAAACCCGGTTAAACGGACAGTAAGAATAAGTTTCTTTCGATGTCCACCTTAATGCGAATAGAGTATAGCAATAACCAATTTATCTCAATTTGAATGAAGTAACGATAACTGCCACCTGTTCGAATTTTGACTCAAATTTATATCCTCAATATTTAAATAATAGTAATCTTTATATAACATTTTGGAATCTAGTTTCTATGAATTGTGAGAAATTGTACCTATCGAGTTTTGTAAGTTTTAGAAAATTTAAATTTAGCGAAGGCTGAACGCGGAATTACGATTATAATAGTAAACATTAGATTGCTACAAGTCCAATTCTGTTTTATATTGATTATATTCCTAATTGAGCTTTATTGTTTTGAATATAAATATTATAATCATGAAGCAGAGTATTAGCGATTAACGACGATTTATCATTGAAATTACCCCAATTGTAAATTATTACACGAATTCCGTTCCGATAAGTATTTATTAGCAAAATATATTTCATTGTTGATATTATTTTTATTTCAAATTCTAGTAACGTTATAACGCTCAATTATTAAAAATAAGTATTAATATTTCTAATAGTGAAAATTTAGTCCATTATTTAGATAAATCTATCAGTATTTGGGATTGTCATTGGAATTGACTAAACGTTTTTTTAGAAGATGTTTTGAAACTGAAAGGTGTGACTACTGGAAAAGATAATAATGGCTCCACATTGTGCACAAGTTGCTAACGCCACTCTGCCGTCTGTGGCTAGGAAATAACGTTGGACCTCATTGTTGGGGTGACTATTTTCACCAACGTCTGGTGTACCTAAATGATCTTTTTTTACCATGGACTACAACCATTTGTAAAAAAAGTCACCAATCTTTTCAGTATCACAATTACAACTTGTATCTATAGCATTATTATGTAATACACTAATATTATTATTTCATAAGTGTTTCTAAAAAAGGTTATTTCACCAATATGATGGTTGTGTTATGTTAATTGTAATATTTAAGCTATTTACTAAATTGTTGCAAGTTATTTAAACGCTAAACACAATATAACTAAACTATGTATAAAAAATAATTTTCTCGAATGAAAAATGCGAATAATTTAAATTAAAATATAATAATATGTACTTCTAAATTGGGACTTAAATATACAATGTTTTCATGATACTGTTGTATTAATTATTTCTTCTCCACAGTCTTTAATTATTATTTATTTTGGGGATCAGCACGAGTCTTCGGGAAGTCTATTTTACACGGAGCAACTACCTTGGGTAGATACCCATTTTACAACCCGTTAAGGATCAATTTATGCGGGCACAGAGTCGAACTCCATGGAAGCGAAAACCCAGCCGAATACGCGAGCGCATTCGTCGGTATCTTTTCAACCTTTGAATGTGTGCATTACAATGTGGTGATAAAGTTGATTTTTTCATATTTGGAATTTAATTATCTTTAAGATGCGCTTCGACTCTGCTACCGACAGTAATTTGAATCAGATTAGATATTTATGTTCCACATAACCTAGTTTAGTTATAACTTATATAGTAAACGTTGTATATATTATAAGTTATTATTACGTTATAATTTATAAACGTTGGACTAATAACAATATTAAGTGTGGGAGAGCCAAGTTTCGGTAAGAATGGGTCGGCTCGACCGAAGTGATACCACGGCCTCTCAGTGCCACCATTGTGGTAATTGCCGCGACGATACGGCGTTGCATACGTTGGCGGAATGCCCAGCTTGGGCCGAGCAGCGCCTGTCCGCGGACCTGTCGCGGCCGTAGGTGCTGCGGGAAATCCCTCGCTTCCGGCTGTAGTGTCTACTATGGTCGGGAGCGAGTCAGGGTGGAGTGCCGTCGCTGTCTTTTGCGAGGCCGTGATGCTCGCAAAGGAGGCGGCGGAAAGAGAGAGAGAGGCTGCCTCCTCTCTTCCCTCCCGCAGCAGACGCACTAGACGTCGTAGAGTGGCCGACCTGCGGCCACCGTAGGGCACGGCCTGCGGACGACAGGACGGGGAGTTCTTGTCGTCCGACCAGCAGCAGGCCTCGAGGCGGCGGCGCCGTGTTCCGCGCGCGCCTCATAGTGGAGTCCTGCGGTCGGGGTGACGGGGCCCGCCCAACCATCTGGCTGGCCAATACCCGTCGGGTGGTTGCGACGAATGCTTCGGCGATACCCGCCCCTCCGACACATCGGTTATTGGAGGAACACCGGGTTGGTTTTTAGTCAGTAAGAGTCTGACAGTACCCTTGGCCCTTACCCGAGGGCGGTGGGTCTCCAAGAGGATTTTCCAAATCGACTCAAAAAAAAAAAAAAAAAAAATACCACGGTCTCACATAAAACCGGCGTGAAACAACCAGCGTTGTGACTTGTGTTTCGCCATGTGAGTAAGGTCGGACCGGAGGCGTTATCATCGGTAACGGATTGATTGATTGATTTCATTATCCAACGGAAACCTTTGTTTACTCCGAAAACCATCATAGGCTATCACTAGAAATATTTAGGAGAACAGGTAAACGAAATTATAAGTAAAATTCTCAAATGACATTTTATAGCTTTTATTTCTTTACAATCATCGCTCTTCAAAATATCAGAACATAATAGGTACAAGTTTTTAAGAACAGAGCTAATAACTTGAAGTCTAGAAATAGTGTTAGAAAACAGTAAGAATGATCACCTATCTAGCGCAGAACAGTCCAAATAATAAATCAGGTTACATAAAAAAACATGTATTATTTATAATCAAGTATACATCTATGGTAAACAAACATTTTTTTATTTGGAACGCTTAAGGAGACTGACTAGTAAAACACGATACGAGTTGAAATCAAGTCTAATAAATTTCGTCATCATGCCAATCAATATGAAAAATATTTGTTTTCTAATTTCAATGATAAATTACCAGATTAAACTTCTTTTTAAACTGTCAACAAAATAAAATCCTTCGTGATTGTGAATCAATACTGAGATTTTGTGTTACAATTACACTTCTGTGTAAAAGCTGTGTTCTGCGCAACTTAGAATTTAACTAGCATTTTAAAACGGTAGTCTACTACTTTATTACATTGGAAGATTAGGTCAGGAAGTTCGGTAATTGTATAAAATATTTATCTAGTGTAAATAACATTCGACAGGAAGCTAAGTAAATATTTAATCTTTTTAATAACATAAGTTACTTTTTTCACACAATCTCACAATATTTAAAGTCACTAGCTATATATTTTATTTTGCGCAAACACCAATCCGCTTTGCGCAAATTAAATACATCGCAGTATCGCTTTGCGCAAAGTACGGTGAGGCTAAACTGCAAATCACGCAAATGGTGTACAAACCATACTATACCCAATGTTTGTTTGCGCAAACAGTTTGTACAAAATTTGGCGCAATCAGTTTGCGCATTTAAATTATTGCTTGTTGCTGGTCCCTTAGCGACCTGTGGAACCTCATAAACGTGCATTGTGAGTTTCAAACAGTAAACCACCCAAATAGAGTGCCGATCATTACAAAATGACCTGAAAATTTTCTTTATTTTACTATCAACCAATCTGACTGACCAATGTCATTTTTACTTTTTTTTAATAAGTCACGCAACTGTCCTAATAACTGTCCATTAGCTCTAGCTAGAACAACGAAAGTACATCATTTGTAAATACATATATACTTACAGATAACTCAAAAAATAATGTTACCTTGTAGGTAAGGAAAACTAAAGACAAAATCCTAAAACTAGCAAAATATTTACAACTTAATCTAAGCTTCGTCTTCACTGGCAGAGACAGACTTCCTTGATACTGGTGTGTCTGGTCGGGAATTTCTGGACCCTGATCTTGATCTAGATCCAGATCGGGATCTAGATCTAGAGGCGCGAGATCCAGCTCGGGAGCCAGACCTGCTCCGAGAACCACTCTTAGATCTTGAACGGGATCTGGACCTCGACACGCTCTTGGATTTCGATCGGGATCTGCTCTTTGACCTGCGAAACAATAATAGAGAATAGAGGTTATTTGATTAAATGTGATAATTATGTTCTATATTAAAGTTCAAAATACTGAATCAAGGAAAATGGATACCAATAATATTTGTTCGATTAAAATATTACAGATTATAGATAGACAGATATCTTATTTTGAAAGAATTCATAGGTTTATGACTTCTAGGAAAATCTAGATAACAAACGTTGCTTACCTGGATCTAGACCGAGACACGCTCTTCGACCTAGAACGGCTCTTTGAGCGAGACCTGCTTTTGGATCTTGAACGGCTTTTCGATCTTGACGCGCTCTTAGACCTAAAATGTATTAATAAAATAAACTATTAGAATATAATTATTTGTTAACGTTTGGCGGGTACCACAACCCGTATGCTCATTCGTATCACATAACGATAATAAAAAAAAACAAATATTAGTTCATAATTTAATGTTAATAAATAATAATATGCTTACCTAGATCTGCCTTTAGATCTGGACCGGCTTTTAGAACGTGATTTACTCTTGGACCTCGAACGGCTTTTGGCGGATCCCGACCTTGACCGACTGCGAGATTTTGACTTTGATCTTGATCTAAAAAAAATATTGCCGTTTAGACTAAAATCTAGGATATCATTGATTTTAATACTAGTGGGAAAATTTAATGTTCTTTTTAGTTTTAATATAATACCTTCGGCATCGGAAGAGTTACTACTTCTCAATTTCTTAAAAAAAAAAATCAGAAGAACCTTCTCATGGACAATTCAAAAAAGAAATATTTGAGTACGGCAAGACGCCGTCCATACGTCGTGATGCCATGACTAAGGCAAATTGGAATACATTAAAATTTGCAATCATTCGAATGCCGTCAATAATAATGGATTATCGGTCAGAAGATCGGAATACAAACAGTAAAATATCTAAAATGCTTCAAGACTAAATTAGTAGTCTTTACGACTTCTTAAATTATTTAAGCAAGCAATAAAACTGAATTATTACCTGTCACTATCCGATGCAGACATAATTCGTTTTCTTCCTTTATTCGCTGGAGGGCTGCGACTTCCACCGCTACGGCTTCCACTGCCACTGCGACTTCTACTCCGGGATTTGCGAGAGGTGTCCGACTCCGATTCGGAAGTCGATATCGTTTCCTTGGATACAATTTTCCCGCGTTGTTTCGCGCCTTGTTTATCGGCCTCCTTCGCTGCTCTTGCCTTTTCGCGTTTACCGATACCTTTCTCACCCTGTTTTTAAGAAATTCATTAGTAAGTGGTGATTTAGAAATATCATGTTAAATAATTCATTGAAATCTTAAAATTGTCAAGCATTGTATCCAAAAGTTTATGAAATGTACGTAATTACGAAATCCATGACAAAATGCATCCAGACAAATGAATTTATTTAGGGACTTTGATATAATTTATTTATTAATAATATTAGAAGGAAAACATCGTGAGGAAGCCTGGCCTTTTAATTTCTAATTATAAGTTTGAAATTGCCAATCCACATTGAGGAAGCGTAATGACTAATGCTCAAACTTTCTCAGAAGGCATCTACTAACCTTCTTCCTTCCTCGTTTCTTAGGCGGGTCTCGGTCGCTATCGCTGCCCGATGTTCTTCTGTTTTTACGTTTACCTCCTTTACGAGGTTCACCTGGTTCACGTTTGCGTTTACGTTTCGGTTCACGTCTGTAACAAAACGATAATATTGAGTCACGGCGTGAAACAACCATAGCGTTGTTTTTCGCCATGTGAGTGCGTTTACCGGAGACCCAGTCCTTCCCCTCTCCCAATCCCTGAATCTCCAAATCCCTAATCCCCAAAAAGTCGGCAACGCACGATTCATAACTCCTCTGTTGTTGCGGGTGCCCATGGGCGGCGCTGATTGCTTATCATCAGGCAATCTGTATGTTCGTATCCCGTCCTATCTCATAAAAAACGAAAATGTATCAAAATCAACCTTAAATGTACTGTTTTCAGTTTTAATTTATTTGGAGATTATTAAAAACACTTACTTGTCTTCTCTAGGTCCTTCGCTTCCACTGCCAGGTGAGTCTGACACGTACTCATCCTTTCTCCTCCCACGGCCGCCCTTCGATTTGTTCTCAGTTGGCATGTCGGCGAATAACAAAGCGTTCTTTGTCTTCTCTTTGTACTCTTGTCGCTTCTGTAACATCTCCACTGTACTCTTCTGTTGTTCTTCTTCGCGACGTTTGCGTTCTTCTTCCTGTTAACATGAATAATATTTTGTTTAAATTGTTAAAGAGGTTTAGAGTATTGTTTAAGTAATCTGTTAAAAGGCTAATGATGTAATGAAGAAATATCTTTTGGAAAGAAAGATGTCGTTTGTATAATTACATGCACGAATGTGATGGCAGAAAAAGAAGTTTGTATCGATATAATATGTGATTCTTGGAAAGGCGTTAGTTAATATGTTTTTAGAGTTTTTTAAAATAGTAGTAGCATTGTGTGTTTACAAGCATATGACATTGAGACAGATTCGGAATACTTTATAGATTACATAAAGAGTGGTTCTGCGACACCCTATAAGCAGTCATCCAGCTAATGTGTGAGTATGAAAAATATAAAGTAGGTGGTCGTGCGTGACGGTAGTGTAGAGTACCTGTTGCCTGCGGAAGGCCTCCCTCTGCTCGCGCTGCTTGTCGCGCAGCGAGAGCTCCTCGTCGTGCTGGCGGCGCGCGCGCGTGACGTGCCACTGCGCCTGCGAGAGCAGGTCGGCGCAGACGCGCGCGTCGAGCGCGGCGGCGGCGGGCGCGGGCGCGGGCGCGGCGGCCAGGCGCGCGAAGTGGCGCTGCGCCACGTGCAGCTCGTGCACGGCGCGCAGCACCACGCGCAGGTCCGAGCGCTCGTCCTTCAGCACGCCGGCCGCGCGCCGCCGCAGCGTCAGCGCCGTGTTGTACGCCAGCGCCGCGTCGTGCGGGGCCACGCGGCGCGCGCGCAGCAGCGACGCCCGCGCCGCGCCCGCGCGCCCCGCCAGCGTCTGCGCGCGCGCCACCCACGTCAGCCACTCCACGTCGTGGTGCATGCGGAACTTGCGCACGCAGTTCTCGTACTGGGGGCGGGGACAAACGTACTACCATTACACTCACTGCTTATAGCCAATACACGCAAGTACTACCTTAACCACCAGTTCTAAGTTAGCGATCTTTAATTTTAAATCGAAGGAGCTATGGTTTTAGTGTTACCCCATTCTCACATAATAGAACCGTCTAAATGATGTAACAAAAATGAATTGTGAAATTGATTGAAAAAGAGTTAACATGGAGTTTCTTGCTCGTTCTTTTCCATTGGATCCAAATAGCTAAATTGGATGTCAAACCGACGAACTGACATACAAAGTTGAACTTATTGATAAAAGTTTTTTCATCAAAATGCCTATATTCATCTTTTTGACTTTGTTGGTTGACCATAGTTATAAAAAGCTTAAGAAAACAGTTTGCTGTTTAAAAAGACTGACAATAACGATTTCCCTCCGCAATCAAGGACTTACCATCTGTATAGCATTGATGTACTGTTTCTGTTCAACGTAAATGTGAGCTATATTCATCCATACATCGGGGAAGTCAGCTGTCGCTTCACGCACTTGAGCGAATATGTCGCGGGCTTCGTTTATACAACCCTGGGACAAAATAGAAAAAGCACAATTAATATAAAAAAAATATCCAATAATAAATTAAAGGGTATTTTTTTGTATGCGATAATCTCCAGAACTACTATTTCAAAATTAATACATACATTTTGAGATAGACTATTTATAGGGAAATGTTATAAGTTTTTTTATTAGTATAATGTAATCAGAACTAGGATAATAGGATATCTTTGTTGTATTGAAGATTTTTTATTTTTTGATTAGATTTAGTTTTTTTTTTACTTGCAATAAACTAGTGCTTGACTGCGATTCCACCTGATGGTAAGGAAAGCAGTGATGCAATCGTTGATGGTAAGGCGCACTAGTTTAGTAAGAGCCTATTCACTCTAGCCTTGAAGACACGTAAATTGTATTCGGATGGAAAGACTGCAGCCGGCAAACTGTTTCAATCCCTCGATGTACGCGGTATAAATGACGAGGCAGAACGCTTAGTCCGAAAACGCTTAGTTAATTAGTATTAAGTTATAATGTAGCATGATGAATAGTGTATCTGGATATGTTTTTGCAAAGTAAATTGCGCTGCTGTTATCGCATTTGGTCTTCAACATTATATCTATAAACCTAATTGAAGCCGAGCATTACAGTACAAATCCGCAGAAGAATCTAGAACTATAATAAAACTATTTTACCAGAAAGTAAACAATAATTTACCTTATGAGCAAGTACACATCCAATACCATTAGCAGCCCATATGTTTTTAGGATCACTTTTCAGTACTTGTTTGTACATAGCAAGGGCCCGCTCTTGATGCCGCTTTTCCCTGTCTTTCTCACGGCAAGGCTGGTGTAGAGTTTGAAGCCATACATTACCTGAACAAAACAATATTTTTATAATAGTTATCTAAGTGTGGGAGAGCCAAGCTTCGGCACGAATGGGTGTCGGCTCGACAGGAGTGATACCACGGCCTCACAGAAAACCGGCGTGAAATAACCACATGTGTTTTGTCGTATGAGTGAGGTTACCAGAGGCCCAATCCTTCCCTTCTCCCCCAATCCCGATATCATCAAACCCTAATCCCAAAAGGTCGGCAAATGACTCGTAACACTTCCGTTGTTGCGGATGTCCATGGGCGGCGCTGATTGCTTACCATCAGGTAATCAGTATGCTCGTTTGGCGTGCTATTACATAAAAATAATCATTTCATCATCATCATCATCAGCCTATAAATGCCCACTGCTGAGCAAAGGCCTCTTCTCATACAGAGAAGGTTAGAGCATTAATCACCACGCTTGCTCAATGCGGGTTGGCGATTTCAAACTTATAATTAGAAATTATAAGTCCAGGTTTCCTCACGATGTTTTCCTTCACCGTATGTCAGTGGTGTCTAAATAATCATAGAAAGTACATATAACTCGGAAAAAGTCACATTGGTACTTGCCAGGTTTCGAACCTACACCCTCATGCATGAGAAGCGGGCTCCTTAACCTCCGGGCCACCACGTCAAAAATAATCATTTACTTTAATTAAACTCATTTTTTCACGGTATAGTTGACTGAACGGAAGTTAACGACACAACTATACCAATTTCCCTAATAAAAGCTGGAAAAATAATCTTTAAACTTCATAAAATAAGCTATAAATTTGCATAACAAGAATTCAAAAGGAACTTACCGAGAGCAATGAGCGAATAAGCATCATTAGAAGTACTAGCGTTTTGTAAGATTCTCTCAAACTTCTTCTGTCCGGGTCCCCACTCTTGTTGCGCTAAATGCAGGTTGCCTAGCAACGACCAAGTGTCTGGATGTTCTGTGTTCACTTTCAAGGCTTCTTTGAACCAATCAGAAGCTTCGTAGATCTGTCCTTTGTCGCGGGCCATGCAACCTAACCTGTATAGATGATATTTTGTTTTAAATAGTAAATTATCGGAAGGTATTTTTACAGAAACAATATGAAGATTATTAGTAAGTAGGTATGCTGTTTTCAATAATATCTAGAGCAAAATTATCCTTTTGTTTTTCGTCCATTGAGTATCTATATACATATAACAATTTATTAATATTTAAGTTGTAAGGTTTTTTCTTTGTTTAAATGAGTGACTCTTAACATTGTAATTGAATTTAAGTTTTGGATAACCCATTTATCAGGAAACCTCGTTCGAAATCTCGTTATGTATGACACTACTTTGAAAAATATATTAATTAATGAAAGATACATTTCTCCTATCTTTCTTACCTTAAATAACAGTCAATGTAGTTGGGATGTTCCTTCAAGATGTCCTTGTAAAGTTTCTCAGCCTTATTGTACATGCAGAGCGCTTCATTCAACCTCGCTAGATTGTAACTAGTCGTGACTGCTATCGAGTTATAGTATTGAGCATCTAGAGTTTCCGCGTCAGCTTTTTCTCTGAAATAAAATATTATTTAATCGATTTGTTTTTTATTTCCTAAACAACAATGTGGTTGAATACTGGGACTATTGTGGCCTTATTAAAACACATTTCTTTATAGTCTAGGTCTAATCCATTGAGCCAGTTTTTAGATTTCAAATCGAAGGTAGGAGAGAATAAGATTCAAAATAAAAAACCTGACTCAATGGTTTAAACCAAGACCAAAATCTTGTATTGTAAAAACATAGTATAACAATATTAACAATAGCCAAAAACTCCACCAAAATTGATTCGATATATTATTATTATTTCATAAAAAAACATACATTTCGTCTAAAGATTCATTTTTAACAGGTTAACGATTTAACACCTAATAACTTGGCGGTCAAATCGAAAATTGGCACTTCTCTATTATCTTGGTACGGGACTGCATTATAACATTTATTGCGCGTAATAACGTGATTACTTTTTAATATTCGAATAATAATAATTATACAAATATGTTTTACCTTTCAAGGGCTTCCTCTAAAAAGTTCTTAGCCTCATTCAAGTTTCCAAGTCTGTAATGTAGGGCTGCCACATTGTTCAATATTTCAGCAGGAATATCTGCATTCACTTTCTCTTTTAAAATCTTCATTGCTGTGCTGTATGCGTTGAGAGAACCCTATAAAAGAACACATGTTAGAAATGAAATGGCCAACATTGGTTATCAAAGTCGACGAATGTGAAAATTTATAGATGTTACCTGTAAGTCATTTTGCTCCAATATTTGTGCCAACTCTATCCAAGCTTCAACATCATCTGGGAACTGTTCTGTGACTTTCTTCAAATGTTGGCGAGCAATATCTCGCTTCGATTGTGAAGGTGAATTGGCATATAGCGATCCTAAAATCTTCATTGTTTCATAATTTCCTGGTTGGACTTTTAGTACTTTTTCGAAACATTGCGCTGCCTGTAGGGATTAGAATACACTATTTAAAGAAACACTCGAATTTGAGATTAATAGCTGAAGTGAATCACTACTTTTGTTCCACAATGGGCTTTATAAGCCCCGATGTGCAACGAAAGAAGTCAGACGTCAATTATTCTTTCAAGATATAAAACAAATAAAAAAATATTTATTGAGCTAAAAATTTACATTAAAACACTGCCTACTACTTCCCTGCGCTATAATGACAGATGATAATTGTGTAATAATTGTAGACAAACCAATAAATAAATAAATAATATGATGATTTCAAACTTACATTCTCTGTATCTCCTCTGTAGATGTACATTTGTCCTAACCCGTAATGTGGTAGGACAAAGTTGGGCGGTGCGTACTGAGTTGCCTGGTAGTAGTATTGGAAAGCTTGGTCACAATCGCCTTGAGCATGGAAGGCCCTTGCGAGGTGATGGCAACTTTCGGCCCGCATAGCTTCGTTTTCAGTGTTATGGAACGCGTGCAAAGCAAGATGTTGAACCTTGCTATAGTCCTACGACGAAAAATAGAAATTGTTTATTAATTCCAACATTTTTAGATTAAATAAACAAAAAATAGTTTTTGTTTCTTTTGATTTAAGTGCGTGAGAGCCATTCTTCGACATGAATGGGCCAGCTTGGCCTGAGTGATACCACGGCCTCACAAGTGCGTTGCTGTGTGTGTGGGTTATTACGAGTGTCCAAAAGTGGTGCTGGTTGCTTACCATCAGGTGATCAACTGCTTTAATGCCGACCGGACATAAAAAAAAGGAAGAAAGAAGATTTCAACATACCTTTTTGAAAAAGAAGTGATTAGCCAAATGGTTTAAAACCATAGGATTTTTAGGGTCAATAGCATAAGCTTTGGACAACATAATCACAGCCATTTTGTTTGATTCACTCTCTTGTAAGTTCAGTTTGAGTATAGACAAGCCTACAAGAGCACCGACACATTGTGGGTCTAATTGTAACGCTCTTTCGAAAGCCATCCTAGAACAGAAAAAGTTAGAATTAAAACGACGATAATAATCTATATAGAACAAAACCTGAATGAATAAGTAGCTAAATTAAATATATGTAAAGGAGTAAAGTACTCTTTTAATTTTATATTTACGGGTTTACATTCCCATATGTATAAAAACCACTAAAAAAATAAGAAATATTAAATAAAAAAATACTCATGAATTCCTTTCCTAAGAACATTTCTTACCTCGCTTTTTCTTGATTATTCAGCTTCATAAAACAATGCCCCATTCCCAATCTCAAGGCAGCTGGACTGTCTGGATTAGTTCTTAAAGCTTTCTTGTAAAAAGCCAATGCTCCTCTGTAATCTTTGCGGTTGAATGCAATACAGGCTTTACCAAGTAATGAAGGCACATTGTTAGGAGACTGATTCAATACAAAGTTGAACTGGGCATCAGCTTGCTCCATTTTATCACCTTCAAGGAGACAGAAGTATGCACGACCAAGGAGATGGTTCTAGAAAGGAAATACCCAAATGTTTATAGATGCAAAGTTTCTTAACATATTTTTGCATTATTTGTTAAGCCTTTGACTGCCGACAAAAAACTGTTGAAGGCAAATCCTCCGCTAACGGAGGTCACCGGTGACCCCCATGGCGCTTAATGTGTTAAGGGTAAATTATACATTGTTAATTACTTACTTGGTCATACATGATAATTTTATCGGCCATTGTGTAAAGAAGAGTAGCTTTAGTGAACAATTCTTTTTTCTTGTCTTTCAACTTTTCTTTATTGGCCTCTTGGACATAGTACGCGGCCAACATATCGAGGGCTCGCATTTGGTCTCTTTCAAAGTCCCTATAGTCGATGTTGGCCTCTGTACGGGAGGCCTCCAAAATTTTGAGGAAGTCATCGATCTTCTTTTGTTTGTAATAAGCAAGCTGAAAGGGTAAATAATTTTCTTTTTGTTAATATAATCTTGACATACACATAATGGGCGAAAATATATAGCAGGAAAATATTTCTCATAAATATTATAAGTTGGAGACAATTCTAATAGATTCATATTGGTTACTAATAAAATTCACATTTTAAATAGGTACAGAATAACAAAGAAACTATTCCATACAATATGTACTTATTTCTTTGTAAATTTTTGCAATAATAACAAAAACATTGAAAATAACCTTCTTATCTCTTTTAAATAGATCTGCATTGTTCCCTAATTGTCTATTCTAAACATTTCTATTTTCCACTAAGTACTGGAATTGACCATTTTTAAAAAGAAAAATATTAACACATGTCAAAGGCAACATTGTAAACCCTTCAATATCAAATATTCAATATTAATTTATGTATTAAAAAATGTGTTTTAAAAAGAAGCTTATTATGGTGGGTAAATTTCTAATTGGTAAATTGTATTGGGAGTTAGTATTTTAATAAAATCAAAACGACTCCACAATTAAATGTGTTTAATAATATTATACCTTAATTAATTTTAAAATAGATGCCTAATGCATTTAATAAAAACATTACTAAAATACATTTTTTCTAATTAAATAATTGTCCTCTTTGTATAGGCTCTACTGAGTAAATGAAATCCAATTTATTAGAAACTTTAATAACTTCACATTAATTAAATAGATCTTCATCAATAAATTTGAAAAGTTAGGTTCTGTAAATAATTTGATTAATTTAAAATACAGAATAACTTGAAATTACTTAATGTGTTCTTTTATAATAGGTTTATAAACAGTAAATATTTCCAACAAATATATTCAGTTATAAATAATTGTAATATATATATATATTAATTTTGTTTACTATTTATCACCTGATTGTAAATAGTTAGAAAACAATACTAAGTAAAATACTAGATATAATGTAAAAAAACATTACAAATAATATTTTATCTCTTTTGACCACTTACTAATAGAAATTACCAACATTTAAAAAAAAAAGTAAATAATACCACATGCCAAAGCCTACATTGTAAATATATTTAGGGCCGATTCTTCAATAGTTAGAATAATGTTATCTGAGGAGTAAAATTGTTGCTTTCATTTTCTTCTTAAAACATACTGTTGTGACAGCATCATCATTATTTCCCAGATAACTTTTATCTAACCAAAACCAGATCAAATAATAAACAAGTGGCTAATAGGTGTATTGTTAGGAAGATATTAATTTGCAAGAGTAAAAGTTAAATGAGGTAATTTAGAATAGTACATATGCATTAAGGTTGAGTATATTCAAGTAGACTGCTAATTACTTAAGTACTATAATTAAGATATTGCCTACTTAAATAATAATTGGAAAGTCAAACAATTTTTTTATTTTTTAGTATATTTTTGTATGATTAAGTACTACAATATTTCTGACAAATGTCTTATGTTTTAAGCATTTCTAATATATTCATTACTAATTGTCTCTTGCTTGTAAATAGTTAGACAACAATACTACAAGTACCTGCAGGTAAATCTTTTACAAAGGTATTATGTAAAATAATAATGACATAGTGTAAACTAATAATCTTATCTCTTTGGAATAGATCTGTATTGTGCCCTAATTACCTACTCTAAACATTTCTATTGTCACTTTATACTAAAATTGACTAAATATAAACAAAGAAACATTAAAATAAGACCACATGTCAAAAGCTACATTGTCAATATATTTTGACCCTCCAAACCATATTAAATAATAAAAAGGTGGCTTTTACCTGTTACAATTCAAAAGATGAAACAATGAAAACAATGGTAAACTGTAAGAGTATGAGTAAAATTTTTGTTTCTCATATTCAAATAGGTTGCTAATTAAAGATTGTAATTGTGATATTATTCTAATAAATCCATAAAAGCCTGGTTAGGAACCACCATACAAGTAAAGAGAAACATTTAAGCTTTTAAGTTCTAACTAACTTCATTAGTTTTTAAGTTCTAACTAACCAACTGTAAAAGGAGTTATTTTGTTTATTTTTATTTAGCATCTGTTAATATTTGAGTTACTTTTCTAAAGTATTTAACATGGCCATGTTTATTATACCAAATTATATTAGCAAATTAGTCAGTATTTGTATTTGAAAGTAGTTATATTAAAAATAATGTTTGTCACAGCTTACATTTTATTGGGTCTTTGTGACAAAATAATACTACAAGAGGATTATAATAACAAACAGAATACAGTTAGAATATTATACAAAAGTTAAAGAGTATAGAGCATGCTATGCTGGAATATAGAGCACTATGGAACACAGACAACTAGGCATAACATATTAAATTTATTTACTACAATTACTTTCCTATTGCCATGTGAACTAGGATCTCTTACTATCCTATGTGATATGTGATAAATATACATGTTTCAACAACCTGTTGGAACTTGGTTATTAATACCAAAAATAGCATATTGTAGCTAACAGACAAGCAACATGAAAGATTACAAAGTTAGAAGGTACATATCAAAGTATAGAATATTTAGTTTGTGTTATTTATTTTCAAAATGTACTGAGAACTGACAAACATAATTATTTGGTTATGTAAATCCACTAATATTATCTATTTAGGAAATTTGTAATCTTGTAGCAACTAGAAGGATATTATCAAAATTCATCAGGAACTATATAATAACGAAAAGAGAATGGCAAGAGAAGTAATGTTATCCCTATTCGACACATATAAAGATTGACAGAACAAACTTTTTGTGATTTTTATAAAAAAAATTGACAATTATACGTTTTTCTGGCACATTTTTTACAGAAAATGTATTGTTTTTTCAATTATATTAACAAAAATCAAAGCTGTAATGAAATAATATGTGTGTAACGCGGTTAGAAGCGCTACGTGTAACTGGCGTAAACAAAATTTGAGGTTAGTTTACTTACTCCAACATTAATCCAGACACTGAGCTGTGATCTCTCCTGCTGTAGTATACTGAGCACTTCATCTCCAGAGGGTAATTGCTCCGGATCTAACTCAATCACCTAAATAAACAAAAATAATGTATTACGACACTGACACTTGCTACACTAAAATTAAACATTTCTCATTAACACTAAACAATCACCTCGTCCGTGCTCATTAACGGGATTTCAAGCGACATTTTGCTGCTTTTTTTACACACACTCCACTACTACATCACCAAAATTTAAAATCTATATTCAATAAAATTTTACAAGATACGCGACGCTGCCAAAATAACGCTACAGTAAAGCGAGCGCGAATGCGAATGACGGAACCGGGAACGGAACCAAATTACTAACTAATCACTGACCGAGTATTTGGAGTTTATGGCCTGGATACAAGTCTTTTAAGCCAAACTGACCGAGTAACCGATACCTCAGTGTTGTCATTATTATTTTTATTACTTATCAAAACGGTAAGTAAAATAATTTAACATTAACCATTTCTACTAGAACACAGATTAATTACATTTTCATTTCTGTTAGAACACTATTGATTAAAATGTTTTAATATTTTATTATAGGCGCTTTTTGCTACTTTTGCCACACCTAATTAAAATTATGTTTTAATCACTTTGAACACTTTTTTCTGACATAAAATTACTACTTCTACGATATAAAATTGTTAATTAAAACTCTTTCTTTACATACAAAGTTACATGGAAATTGTTGGAGCCTTATCTGAGACCCTGTAATTAAATTTATTTATTTATTTATCTAAAAAAGGGTACACCAACAGCTTCTGTATATAGCAAATTAAATAAAACAATGATAACATTAGGTTTTGGCCTTATACAGTGATATATTTATAAGAATCCATCCTTTAAAGGTATTGGTATATTTTTTGTACAGACCTATGCATCACAGTATCACAATATCATATACAAATTTGGCTTAAAGAAGTTGTATCCAGGCCATAAACTCCAAAAAAAAATCATATACAAATGTCATGCAACTGACAGATAGATAAAATTACCAATTCATTCCTATCGCTCATTCATTGGCTGTTAAAAATAAATAAATAAGACCTCTACTAAAATGAAGACTACTATAGGATTTATTAATTAAGTTTGTAGTTATAACAAAGACTTCACTGAAGTATTTTGTTATCAAGTCATTATTTTAATTTATTTCACTAAGAATCGATTCAGATTTTGAAGAAGAGTTTTTCTGATCATTTATTTTACAATGCCACTAAATGCTATGGCAATGCATAAAAAAGTATCTTGTAAAAGATTAAGGCCCAATGCACGTTTTCAAGACTGGCTGTTGCACCTGTGCGCCGAAGCGAAAGCAAAGAAAAGCAGCCTTGAACCAATACTCAAAGAGGCAGTAGAATCTCTAGAGAAATATCCATTGCCGCTTAAAACGGGATCTGAGTGCATCATACTGAAAGGTTTTAACAAAAAATTATGTTTATATCTTGACAAATGTTTAAGTTCTTTTAATAAAGATGTCTTGTCTGATAATAGAGGCTATAGAGAGCCTAGTAGCTCTGTTAGACCTACTCCACTATCTCCAATCCTATCTAGTCAGCTGGTTACTAGGAGTAGCAGCAATAGTCCAGTTTCAGAAACTTTGTCAAATGTTGGGTTCTCTCAAAGGCAAGGGATTACATCAAATCCAGATAGTGCAATATCAGAGAATCTTCAAGAAAATGTTTCAAGCGATTCTGGATTGTCCAATAGTAATAAAAAGAAAAGAGCTAAAAGTATATACAAACCTGCTCACAGGTCAGGAAGCTATGCTATTTTAGTCACATTACTAGAACACAGTAAACAAAACAATTCAAATTTTTCAATGACTAAAGAAGGTTTAATAGAGAAAGCTCAAATTCACTGTGAGGAATCATTTGTAAGACCCAAAGCAGGTTCTATGTATACAGCTTGGTCTAACATGAGCAGGCTTTTAGCAAAGGGTCTGGTTACAAAAACTAGGAAAAAGAATGCTGAATATTCATTGACATCAGAAGGTGAAAAACTCGCAACAGAATTGTTAGAAGCAAGTAAAAACATACCTAATGTAAATGATATGATTTTTCATGACAAAGCTTCAACAAGCAGTGGTATAAATGTCCAGTTTGTCAATACTGCTAAACAAGGACTGACTACAACAGAAGAACCATGTCACATAGAAATGCAACCTGGGGAATTTGATATAATATTACTGATTGATAAAAATGAAACTGGAGGGTAAGCATATTGTTTTATAAAATGATTACTTAAAAAGGTGGCAATGGCAACGCACTTGTGTTTCCTCTGGTCCTGTAGGTAGGGTTGAATATTTATTACCAGAAAATCTATCTGTAGTCTGTTTGCATACTATTTCACAATAATAAGTTTTTGGAAAATGCCTTGAAAAATATTTGAAGTTATCTTTTGTGAATGATTTTATATTTGTAAATAATCTTATATAACTAAATACTTAACTATAAAAATACTTTTACAGGCTTAAGAAGAGAAATGATCCAACAATCATGGAATTTAATAAGTATCCAGACTTGAAACATGATTACAGAAGTTTGAAAGTCGGAGACTTTACTTGGATAGCGAAACATAAAAGCCATCCTGAACAAGAACTAGTTCTACCATATGTAGTGGAAAGGAAGAGAATGGATGATCTAGCTGCTAGCATCAAAGATGGGAGATTCCATGAACAAAAGTTCAGACTCCGAAGATGTGGACTCAAGAATGTTATCTACTTGGTAGAAAAGTATGAGAAAAACAAAGGTTTGGGATTGCCTTTACCGAGTCTATTGCAAGCCCTGACCAACACTAGAGTCCAAGATGGATTTAAAGTTCGTTCAACCAATTCTCTCAATCAATCTGTCCGGTTTTTGGCTATGATGACGAAACGATTAACAATACGATATGGGGTGATTATATTTTGTTTTTTTTATGTTGTCTAATTCCTAGATAATCTTGGATAACATTTTAACAACCGCATCTTTATTGGCCGTGTTTCGGAGTGTTTTTCGGCGGGTGGGACAGGAGGGTATTTTCCTCATGCACTCCATTTCGTCCTTCGGCGAATCAATCATGCTCGCCAATAATGAGACAGCCTCTCAGTTCCTCTCGGTCCTCACCATGGCCTCAACTAAGGCCGTGCATGAGACGTCGCCGCCGCCGATTAGTTCACTGAGCTAACGGCGGTACTAACGCGAAGCAGGGCACACCGCCACCGTGTGCGTCATCGTATCCTTTGGGTGGTCCTCATAGTGGTTGAGTAAGACTGTTGGCATAAACCAGACAGGCAGACATATTTGTATAAGTACTGTATTATTGAGAAATTTTCTATAGATACCTACTTAAATACTACCCGGGAATCGAATCCCAATCGCTTTAGTTAGCATTTGCAATCATTTAATTTTATTATAGTTTGTATTATTCATTTCAGAAAATGACCCTGCGAAATGGCGGCGAAGAATGCGATGATTCTGATGATGATTTGAAGTTTGTGGTTCCTCAGGTAGTGAAACTGATGACATTTGAATATTTTAACAAATCGTCTGCTAAAACCAAACCGCTTACAGTAAAGGATACTTTTATAAAATTACTTCTCCAACTAAAAGGTGTTTCCGTAGAGAAAGCTTTGGCAATTACGAATAGATACCCAACACCACATTCTTTAATAGTCGCTTACTATAAATGCGATCAACAAGAAGGAGAGCTACTTCTGGCCAGCTTGAAATACGGCGATCAAACACGCAATATTGGACCTGCTTTAAGTAAATCTGTTTATCATTTATTTTCAACTTTAAATCCAAAATGATGTTGTGTCCTTTCATTATTTCATGGATTTATGTGGATTGCCTGTAAGAAACAAGTAAGTCAATGAAAGACTGACAAACGAACATCAGTAGTGTAATAAAAATAAATTGCTATAAAAATTTGTTCAGGGAATGTTCGTCATAAGTACTTAAATCACGTACCTAAATGTTGTTACTGCATTTTTGCGAGTTTTAAAAAATTAAAAATGTAAAATTCCGTTTTTAGTATGTAAATCATGATCATGTACCTATCTATTAGATTTAAGCATCCCATTTTTTATTGTTAACATATTATTAATGTTATTGTTGATGTAGGTAAATTAAACAATAATTTTGTGTTCTTAATGATCGTCCAACTATTAAACACAATATCATGAATGGTATTTGTTTTAATATACATAACTAGTTAGCCTAATTTATGGAAATATCGACAGGCGTGGTTGTTTACAAAACAACATGTGCATTTAAAACGGTGAATTTCTATATTTATATTATTATTTTTTAATAAATAAAACGATATATTTTATACAACGATGTGTATTAGGTATTGGTGCTGTAATGAAGAAGAAAGGACGGGAAGAAACAAAATATACCAAAAATAACACCCTGTTTTTGAAATAAAAACAGGTTGCTATCATACAATAACTTTTTCTGCCTAGCTAAGTAGGTCTCCCTTAAAACATATAACATCTCGATATTTTTTCTAGCACGTTTACAGTCTGTGGTCCCACGTTTTCAAGACTAGTGTGAGTTTATCCTTACTGCCTAAAAGTTCGTAATTTGCATACTTTAGTTTTCATTAGATGACAGGTGTTTTTATGGGGGTAGAATCTTGCAAGTTACTTGTACTGCCCTGGGTGAGGAGCGCTTACTCTTACTAACAAAAACCACCCCCTTCTGAGCTGCCGTGCTGCTTCTGAGGGCCGTGGTACAACATTGCGCTTTGCACCGGAGTGTATAAGGGTTGGACCTAGGGTTACCATATCTCAGGATTTGTCCTGGGATTTCAGGATTTTTCGACTTCTCACAGGATTGCGGCCGGATTTTGCAAATCTCGTAAAATCTCAGGATTTTCAATAAACACCAGGTTACAATTGAAAGATCACTTTAATTAAAACATAAACCAACTAAAAACAATATTTTTGGTAACAATTATTGCAGTAAAAATCTATACCTACTTATTTATCCAAGTAAAACAAACTAAACGCAATGTTTGACGGGTAGCAAAATAAATTTTATTTTCTGTTTTTCTTCTTTCTTTCCTCTTTTTCGTAAAAAATGCAGCATCTACACTTATTGGGTAAATAAGTGTAGATTTTAACTACTTTTAAGTAAAACACCACACTCTCAAATATTTAAGTTTAATTAAAAACTAATTCTTATAAGAAACTTATTTCTATGCTCGTCAAATTTCCCACCAGAATCCCCGTTGCCCTCTTTGCGCGGGAAAACTTTAATCATCTGTCTCAGTTGACAGACGACAGCGTCACCACGGCAGCCATTTTTTTTTTTTTTGGAGTTTATGGCCTGGACCACGGCAGCCAGTGTTGCCGAGACCACAGATTATATTAGTGACGTTCATTTAGTTGATTTTCGTCGTCTAACACTACCAACAAAAAATCTTAGGTCTTTTCCATAGACATCGGGCTATTTCTCCGGTCTTTTGATTTTTTCATCTGGTAACCCTAGTTGGACCTCAACTGGCATCATGAAGTCGCCTTTTCTCTTTCTGTCGCTTAGAACTGCCATTTCCTAGGCTGAGACAGAAAGCATAATGCGATAGCAAGCGGCGGAATCCTCGAGGCGATTGGCATCACACAAAATGCAATGGTCGGTAGGGAGACTCCGGAACGCTGAAGCGTGCGATAGCGCGCGATCGCATGCGGCAGCATACTGCAGCATGTGGTACGTAGCACAGGCGGAACAAATGCGATTCTGTGCTGCCAAATGAGGTCCAACCCTAAGTCTTTGTATCGTAAGAATATTTAGGTACCTATTGACGACATTTCAGAATGAATAGAAGAAAATTCGTACGTATGTATACCTTTATTTATTCAACATAACCATTGACAGACATGAATGTAGCAGTAAGATAGACAGAATTTTCATAGTGGCGTGTAAACCTTTCGAATAACTATCCATAAATAGTTCAGATTTAAGAGCACTTTAGGATGGAATCAACTTTCCCCAGTTTACAAATAGCGTGTTAAAATCACAAATAAAAAACAAAATATACAGAATTTGTTATGGTTTGGCACAAAAAAGTTTCTATATAGTTAGTGATTAGCGGATTTTGAGATTCTCTAACGAGTTTAGTAACGAGAACGAGATAATTGAATTAGTCGAGTACAACAGAGATTCAGTAAACTTAATTATGCCAAACCAAGATAGGTACTACTTTAGACCCTTATTTTCATCATCACATTGCGTTTCCTTACAATAACACTTAACATTAATAAATATACTTAATAGCTACATCTTTGAAATATAGTGTGTACGAAGCTGTATAATTTTTACCAAATGCAGTGTTTCACATCGAAATCCGAAACATGGCACAGTTCCAAGAAAAGGGACATCAATACTTAAACTAAATTGCACTTTAGATGAAATAGTACGATTATCATTAGTGGCTCATTTCGGTTTCTATATAATTTTATAATCATTTAAAATTCAGTATATAAACATTTATAGATTCCAAATGTACAAATCACATATATTATTCTCATATAACGTACGAATGTAATAATTTTAGGTACATAACCTGGCGGATTAAAATTATACATAGATACGTACTTGCTTACTCAAAATACAGCATGCAACATAGAAAAATAAATGCCGAACAATCTACTAGAAGTTACAAACCTTACACTATTTAAAAAGAACAAATGTATAATTCGAATCGTAATTTATGACCTAACGACCAACCACCCAGGTATATTATACCCTATGATTTTTTTCGGCGTAAATAAGTGGCTAGACGGACGCCTGCGAGACATCACCCTAATTTATAAATTCGGAAAAGCTAAGTTACGTTAAAATATTGAGATAAACAAAATTTACAAGGAATATATAATATACCTGTATTTTACTAATGTGCACTCGAAGGAATAAACGTTTGAGAAAAGAAAAAATAATATCAATTAATAAAAATAAATCTTATATATAGTTTGGTGCACTTAGAATAGTGTGAACTTCAATTATTTAGAGAGTATGGTAGTTTCTTTCGGTTTGGTTCTTATAGTATTTGAAGCCCATGAAACCGATGGCGAGGAGACCCAGAGTCAAAATGATGCCTCCAATGAAGCTCGGTCCATCGAATCTGAAAAAACATATTCATAAATTAAAAGACGAAAACAATACACGCTTCTAAGAAGCTCATAAGATAATTCATGTTTCTGTAAATATTTCTATTTTTTATTGGGATTACCGAAGCAGTTGTGGAAAACACAGTGTGTGCCAATGTGTCATCAATGTTTTTCGGCAAAAATCGCTTCCAATGAATGAAAAGTATTTGTATTTATTTTTAACGTAGAACATGTAACTGTTTAATGTAGACTAGTGTACGGTATTCTATTGTCGATGACGTAATCATCCTCTCTGTGAAGTCTCATTGTCATCTTTGAGCCGCTGTGGTAGATAACAGCCAGTTTTCCCATTAAACGTGTAAATGGCTATCGTATTCCGATAACCCTAGTAGTTTATATTATCAATAATTTCCTGTAGTAGTGATACTTCAATAACTTTATTTTATCTGCATAACATGACTGGCTGACCCGAAATTTAAAAGCAATCAAGTTATATACGTATATTAATGGAATAAATGACGCATAAATTGAGAACAAAACATTAAAAATTCATTTTAAAACAAAAAGTAATACACTAGCAAACACGTGCGTCACATCCGTGCAAAAGCTGTTTATCATAACAAAACGTGCTCCTTGCAATTATCACGGAACTGATTTTCTCTACCTGTACATCCAACTCATTTATATAAATACGCAATTCGTTTAAAGACCGATGCTTATAATAAAAAAAACTGAAATGGATAAGGAATTATGCTCTTAACTGTAACGTTGTTTACACAACAGAACATTCGTGATAGGTACGTACCTATCGGATAACTAATACAAATACTTTACGGAGCGAAGACATTGAATACTCTCTCTAACGTATACCCGCACTTTTATACTCTAAAGATAGCTCATATACGTCAATGTCCTACGTAGTCGGTTGGTAGCGTGCAATAATCGATACCTCTATGAATTAGTAATGGACATGGATCAGTTAGTGTCTGATTTTCCTGTTTTGTATCAATGTTAGTATTTCCCTTAGGTTAAACAAGTGATTGCAATTCTATAGGTTAAATTTATAAGAAATCTAAAATGTGCTTCTATGTCCATGCGTCTATTGCGCGGTATTCCCTTGCCACGATAATAAGCACTCTATGCTGCGTAATTAACGATTATGAAACGGCCGGGTCCGCCGATCCAATACGTAGAGCTAATAAAAGATTCAGTAATAAGGTTTCCGCGGAAATACTGTGAATAAAACATTAGCTAACACTACAAGATGAAAAGGTTATACTATATCTAGAATTTTAACTTCATTCAAGTTTTAGTTTTTTTGTCAATAATGAATATTGTACCTTCAATTTGCTAGTTTTGAACTTATAATATTGGCCGTACATTACGTGCAATGAAAAAAAAATACTTACGCTCTGGTTTTAGTTTGGACCGTAGGCGCAACAGTGGGGATAACATTGTCAGCCTTCGGTGTGGGAGTAGTTTCATTCTTCTTTCCATCCTTGCTATCTGCGTTAGTACCGTTAGTTGGAGCAACGGGGGCTGCTGTTTTGTTTTCAGTTTTTTCTTTCGCTGGTTCTGGTACTTTCTCAGTGGGTTTCACTGTAGCGTCAGCATTGGTTTTAGCGTCTGTCGAGTTGGTTTTCTCAGATGGTTTAGTTTCGTTGGTCTTAGTAGTAGTCTCGTTTGACGCTGGAGCTGGTTGCGTACTGTTGGTAGCCGTAGTATTCTGTGCCGGTACTGTTGCCGCCGCCTTAGGTGCGGTCTCATTCGCCTTAGCTACAGGATGCTCTGGTTTCGGTGCAGCGCTCGCATCTGTACCTGTAGCAACCGGAGCAGCGGCAGGAGCTGTAGCTGCCGGAGCCGCTTCTAAAAATAAACAAAAGCTTCATATTACACAGGTGTAGAAGTTATTTATTTTTATGGCGAACCCACTTCAGATATACCTACAGGTGGTATCTTCCGATCACTCGTCTCAATCATGACAATAAATTAGCATATTTGAAACTCGTAGCAAAATTATTTATAGTAATAATATCTAATACATAAAATGAGTTGAGTAACCTTGAACAGAACAAAACTTGCTCATGCCATAGTTTTTGTGTTCTTAAAGACATACCTACACCTTTTTTAAGCACCTATATTTTAGTACTAAGTATGTACAAATAAATGTAGCTACTTTACAATAATTCGATTAATTGATTCAAATCACGGATGTGAGTCAGGTCATGAAAGTCTTTTTTGAGACGTAATTAGGTTCAAATTGGCTCAAGTGTTACCGTTATTGACGTGGTAAATAGGTTGCTGGTGAGCGAACAATAACACTGTTTGTTCCTTTGTTATGGATATATTTTTACAGCTTACTCGGCTAGGCGGAATGTCCTAGAATTCGGCCACATAAATACCAGTAAACTGGTGTGTTCACACTTTGCCATTGAATAAACTAGACTTTAAAAGTGAAATTCACACAACGGAATCACGGCCGAAATCAGTTATTGAAAATAGAAAATCCTGTTTGACATGATTCCTTATCAAAAATGTTAATCAGCTGGTAACTATGTGGAATATAGAATTTAAAGACTATTCTTATAAATATGATACCTTCTAGATCAATAGATAACATGTTATCTATATGATCATAGAAGCTACAGATGAGCCTGTTTTACCAAAAATAAGATTGAACAGATACATAAGAATTTTAATGTCAATCAGCATAGACAGCAACCTTCTGTATGCTAAACAGATCTTTTGTCGCAAATATATTATAAAAATATCAGTATCAATATAGACTATATTAAAATTTTAAATACTAATTCAGCTCATCTAAATTAACATCTGGCATTATTTTCTACATATCCTATTTATAATGTATGCACATTTTAAAGTGATTAGTGTTAAATAATTATAATATTATAAGCTTCAGTTCACAATGTGGACTACTATAAGTGAATAAATACAAATAAAACTACCATAAACAATATTTGAAATACTTATTCGTTCTTAAGGAAATGTCCTGAGCCTTGAATGGAATCTAACAATGTGGTTTGAAACAACAAAGTATCAATAAACAGTAGATTGAATATTATCTATTGTATTAAGAATAGAAGTTAAATTCTAACTATTTCTTTTAATAAATCCATTATGAATTTAATTTCATTTCCTTGTTTTTTACCTAGAACAAACTACAAACTGTCATTTTTTCATAACATTGCTCCCATTAAAGAGAAACTGATAGAGTAAACAAATCAGTTTTATTTATAAGTATGAATTATATAAATCAGGGTTTTCCCCGTTTAGTGATGTAGGTGTAGCAGGGAAGGATGAGAGAAGATTTAAGGGCATCAAAAGTAGTTGACAAACTGGCCTATATTATTGATATTAGCATTTTTTACATCATACATAAGATGCAGTTAGTGTGGTAGTACAGTGGTATGCCAATTATCTGAAATAATAGTGACCGGGGTCAATCCAGTTTATCGGACAAAGACTGGTAATAAACAAACTGTGACACTTAGTTTTCGTTTACCATATTATAACAAAAACATATCCGGTCTCTGGCAAGTTGTTGTCATAAGAAAACAAAATTTACATAGTATGTTTTTTTACCTTATATTAGGATCTATTAGGTTAATCAGTGCTTGAATAATCCATAGTAAGCAAGTATTAACCTTGGCCATGACTAATTGTTGTATTGGGACAATTGAGTGTAGTATAGAATAGAACTGGTATTGTTTCTAATGTAATGTAAACAATACAACAATGTTTACGCAGGAAGTATTAGCATAAAGTGAGTTTTATAATAATAGCACTTTGTTGTAGAAACTAATATTGTCACTGGTCTTCAGGCATGTAGGGAGTACATCAATGAACAAATTTTCATGGTTTTAGATGTCAGTTTTAATGAATGCATAGAACCATCATGGTCTTCTCACCATGGATCTTGCGACATTGCAGTTAAATGTTATCCAAAGTAGCTTTATTATTCAAATTCTAATGTAAATGTATGGTTATTGAATAATTGGCACCAAGGTGGCCAAAGGTTGATGACTGTTTCATAATGATAGGGAGGTTATAACAGCTACACATGCTAACAAAAACATCTGTTCTGCCTTCTTATCTAAGGCAACAATACTCTTTTGTATAATATTACCAGTATATAGTAAACAAAAACATGTTTGTTTTCATAACATAGCAATTACACTCTTAATCAAAGTAGGGTTATTGCATGTAAATGTATTGAAAATTCATTTCCTACATTGCCAAATTGTTGCATTTTAAAATTTCAAACTGGCTTTATGTGTTGTTGGGCAGTAAAAAAATATGTTAATGGATTTTTTGCATTACAGTACTGAGAAAAAAGTAATTTGTTTGTTTTAGAAGTATGGTTTAGAAATATGATTCTTGATAATAATTGGGATATCCAATCAAGTTGTATAACAAGTAATACTCTTGCGAAAATCTTGCACATAATGTAATTAAATAGGTACAAATTTATTAGAGACAGAAAAGCAATGCACATCTGCAAATGCAAAAACATATAAATGTGATTATAGCATACATGAATATTTTTCTTCTTTTTGACTGGCAAAATATATCCTTCCTAGTATTGGTGGAGCATATAGGAACGTTTGAAACTAGTTTGTAATTTTTATTTCAAATATTGTGTTTAGTTTGCTTTTTCTAAGAACCACAATAAGGGTATGTAAATCCAGGCTGTTAGGTTAATTTTTTATTATTCCCTATTTTGGGATTTCATGGTGGGTATTTTGACACTTTCATAATACATGCAAATGTAATTTTTAGGTCTTAAATATTTATTTTATTTATCGTAATATATCTATTCTGGACTATTTATTCATTGAATTACATCAAAATATAACAAGACACATGTTAAAACAGATATTTTCAAACAAATTATCTTACGAGTCGCATAAAAAGCCCTAAATGGCTCTTATTAATAATAAACAGTTATCTTAGATGTAGTCACATGTAGAAAATGTTTAAAACAAAGAGTTTTGCTAAAATATAAATACTCAATAAAATTCATTATTTATAATTCCAACAAGAATGTTAATAGTGGTTATTTATAGATTTAACAACAACACTAATAAAAGATCTGCAAGTCAAACATTCTTACACAGTCACAGATAACTTTATTGGTTAATAGTTAATACATTAACAAATAATTGTGCAATCGTCATTCCTAAGCTTGTTTAACTGGATCTCACATTAAGAACAGGTACTTAGTACTTATGTATTTTTAGAAGCCATTATACTAGCGTGTTTAATTAAGGTCTTCCTACATGGGTTTTTTCAATAATATAATCATCATGCGCTGCAGTTCACTAACATTGCCGCGTCATAAAAAATCTCAGTAAGACACTGCTTTATAGGAAAACAGCAAATACTTCCTTGACCTTGACAAACTACGTGGATATTTCAACAACACGAAAAAATCGATAATAACTGTTTGACGCAATATTCTGACTAATATAAACCATTTCTCATAAAACTCATTTTTATAATCAGAATTCCGCATCTTGAACGTGAGAAAATTCTTATGAAACACTTAGTTATTCTCAAATTATAATTATTTTTGCTTACCTTGTGGCTGGTTTGGTGCGCTGAGACACACGGAGAGTGATAACAAACATACAAATATTACTTTCTTCATCTTGAATATCGCTAAATATCAGTCAATTTAATATTTATCAAAAATTCTATTACTACGCTTCCACTGATTGCCGACAAGACAAGAGAAAAAAAACGACTTCACTATTCACATAACACAAACCAGTGAAGTGACGCCGTGACGTTGTGGTAAACAGTTTTAGTTTAGTCGATTGTTGTGTTGCTAGCATAAAAAATTGGAGCTATTTATTATTTTAAAACTGGTTTTAAATTACATATTATAGAAATCTATGACCATGTCGTTTTATTTTTATATTGACGATTTAATTTATATATTACAGTACATTACAGTTTCGAGTATATTGGGCACACTGTCCTGAATCAATTACGATTCAGTCGAGTAGGACATACAAATTGAGATTATGATAAAAATAAAAATACTTTACTGATGGTAACTATTTTATTATCGACACCTAGTTTAATATAATAATAATAATGTGATCAACACTTTACTTCGTTAGATCAAGCAAGTCATTGAAATGTGTTTTAGAGGATGAATGATTAACTTAATTTGACTTGTACATACGTATATGACCCCTAAAACAAACATACACAGTAAATATACAATAGAATACAGGGCATTAATTTGAAAATGTAAGTGGATAGGTTACCTAGGTAGTTTCTTTAGGTTGGCTTGCCGCGTAACCTATAATAATATATCGGCTCCTCATCCGCTCTATTGGGCTATCCCCGATGCCCGAAGCTACAGCGGCAGTTGGAGTGTGAGGAAAATATTTTCCTCATGCGCTACGCCTTCTCATTTGTGAGCGGTACTGCTTTACAGGAGATGACTTCCCAGTTCCTCTAATTTCGTACCATGGCCGGAACTAAGGATACGGCTGAGTTCAGCTCAAGTAGGGCAAACCACACTTACACCTTCCGTTTTCGATTAATACTAATGTTAGGCAGATGGTGAGGATGCCGTGGCGCCTCTTTTCTCTAGCCACTCCTTAGAGGGGGCCGCGATAACAGTGAGCTCGATTAAGTAAGTAGGCGATTAACGTATGACGTAGTAACCAAACTTGAATTTATAACTTTTTAGATAGGTACCTACCTAATCGATATAATTTTCACTTCAAGTAGGTACCTTAATTAATAGTATTAAGTGGCGTTAAGCAGTGGTATTAGAGAAGAGAGAGAGAAAAATGTTAATACGTAAACAAAAAAGAAGGTCCTAGTTTCTTAAAATTATATATTGAACAGCTTGTAAAACAAAATGGTGACAGGGCGGGTAATCAGCTTGAATTAGGCAACTAAGTAGAAGGTAAGATGGGTAAGTTGTATAAGTAAGTGAACTCAGTAGTGTGGAGTAGGTAGTGTGGCGTCGACGCTAAGTGATTTGCACATTGAAATTCACAAGCTTACGTGTTTTTACATATATGGCGCACTCCCTGCGCTTTCACTTACTAAACAGAATTATATGACGTGTTTCGGTGGTGCAGCTGATACTAATTAGGTAATAGATGTCTGTTGGCTAAATTTTTGGAGAATTACGAGTGCGTTGCGGACCTTTTGGGTACCTACTAGGGATTTGGAGATTTAGGAGGGATTGGAGGAGTGGAAGCACAGGGCCGGTAACCTCACTCGGCGAAACAACACGTTTGTTTCACGCCGGTTTTCTGTGAGGCCGTTGTATCACTCCGGTCGAGCCAGCCCATTTGTGCCGAAGCATGGCTCTCCCACACTTATGACGACACTGTCTAAGTATCTAAGTACCTAGGTAATAGATTTTTTAAAAGTAGGACGTAGGTTACATCTTTTATACTCCGCTGAACCAAATCGCCAGATGGCAGGCAAGAGCTAAATAGTTTCACTGTTAATTTCAAAAAGGAAGTGAAAGTGTTCTGTCCTTTTTGAGGGGAAAACATAAGATAAGATATTTATTTGTTTCTAATTATTTGTTAATTTTAGTGATGCTTGTCTAGTAGCAAACACTAATCATTTATTTCTTTTTTTTATGTGATAGGACGGCAAACGATCGGACGGATTACCTGATGGTAAGCAATCAGCGTCGCCCATGGACACCCGCAACAAAGAAGGAGTTACGAGTGCGTTGCCGACCTTTTAGGGATTGGGATTTTGGGGATTCAGGGATTGGGAAGGGATTGGGGTAGGGGAAGGATTGGGCTTCCGGTAACCTCACTCACGCGGCGAAACACAACGTTGTGGTTTCTTCACGCCGGTTTTCTGTGAGGCCGTGGTATAACTCCGGTCGAGCCGACCCATTCGTGCCGAAGCATGGCTCTCCCACACTTAAACTTTAAATATGTTTTATCTGTGGATAATGCAGTGGACTGCAACATTACTATCTTAAGTGTTGTAAACCATGTGTTATTTATGTTGAAGTTGTTTATTATCCCTCAATAAATAAAATAAAAAAAGTATCAAATGTCTTCTTCCGCTGTTGGTGAAGTGTGGTGTGAGGCATAGTGACTTATTTCAATTTAATGTATTAAATGCTCACTTGCTTGTATATTTTGAGTTGCAGATAGTTAACAAGTAGATACAAATATCTACTTATGACTGAATATGTAGATATTTCGACGTGGATAACAACACATCAGTCCTACACGCTTTTGGTAATAACCAACGAAAGACCTTAGATATCCCCAAAAGGCTGGTACCGCACTCGTAACTCCTTTGGTGTTGCGGGTTTCCGTAAGCGGCGCCGATTGTTTACCATCAGGTAATCGGTCTCGTTGCCGACTTATCCCAGAAAAAAGATAAGTAGAAGATATCAAGGCCTCCTGAAGGCAAATATAACATGTTCAGAATAGTGCGAACTTAAGACGCGTGAAGCCTTACTTGGTTCATAATCTAATAATATGACTATCACAACTACTTATGGGGTTTATTGACGTCAGCTACATAACACCTCATGGAATTTATACATACGTAATACTTGTGGATGGATATTTATGTATGATCTCTTGCACTACGAAGGAAATTAAGTATTAAGAATTAAAGATACGACTTTCTTTTTTCTTATATATCATCTGCATATATCAATCAGCGTAAATAGTAAACAAAACCATATTACCAAAAGTATATTATAATAATTATGTTTGATGTTAAAATCTTTGGGTCTATTTGAAACAAAAGATTTGAATTTGACATTTAATTCTTAGCGGACACATTTCTAACAAGTTTAGGTAGACCAGGTTTAGGTGGCTCAGATACTGAAAAAAAAGAACCTAAAAACAATAAATTCTACAACTCTAAGTACAAGTCTAAGCACCTGAAGAGGCAGTACAGCATTCCGAAATTAAAATTATTTGCCTGTTTTAAATCGTTTTTCCATTGTTTGTTTTAAATTAACCTAATTCTTTTTCTACCTTCAAATCCGAATCTAATTCTCTTTGCCCCTAAGCGTGCACTGGCGAGATTTATCAGTAACACTATATCTATTCATAGGCTAAGCTTTAAGCCGGTTGTCCATTAATTAAGGCAACGAGCTCACAAATTTAATTTTCGGTGTGCCTTGTCATTCTATTTTGTCAATGGAATTGTTCCTTTCGGTTTAAACCCTATAAAATAATTAATGTTTTTCGACTACGAAGCCTCGATCGTAAGTATAAGAATAAATTTTCAAAAAAAAAACAAAAAATGCTTGGTTATACCAGGTTTTGTAATACTAAGTTAACACTTAGAACGCCATGTCGGACAATGCTGTCCGACGCTAGCGGAGGGTTAGCCTTCAACAGTTTTTGTCGGCAGTCAAACGCTTAACTATGTATGTTAAGGGTTACATTTATTGAATATCAATATCAATTATCAGCACTATCCAAAACGCACACAGACAGCTTCAGAAGTAAACATTCTTTTTTATTGATGATTACAAAAGTCCTAATATTTCTTTTGACAAATATCTCTATGTAAATGTAGTTTTTTATTATTATTTATATTTATAAACGCCCATTATCCCATTATTATTCATATTCTAAGCTAAGCCCCACGAAATCGTTGTACTGTGGGGTCAACGACTCTCTAAACAATAAAATAAAATTAGACTATTCAATTCATAAGGTATTCTCTCATTTAATGTTCTTTCACTAAAATATTTGGTGAATCTGGGTACATTGAACCTATATATTTATAAGTGTGGAAGAGTGATTCTTCGGCACGAATGGGTCGGCTCGTCTGGAATGGCGCCTCATAGATGACCGGCGTGAAACAAAAACAGCTTGCGTTTTGTTTCGCCGGGTAAGTGAGCCCCTCTCCGATCCTTATATCCCTTACAACACACGTTTAGTTTTGGTGTCAATGGGTGTCCATGATAGGTACATTTCATAGGTTGCCGAACTATTCTATAAAAAAATTTGTCCGATGGTCCAAAACTCGCAAGTAATGCAACCCAATTCAATATATAGTTCGCAACTATCCTCTGATATTAACGTTCCGTGGAGTGGCAACCGGGAGGTCGGCTGATATTATGGGGTTCGCTGCATCTTTCAAGTTACGTGACTTCCTATGTTTTTTGTTTCTTTGTAGGGCCAAATTCTGGCAAGATGTTTCCAACTCAGCGAATGAAATTGAATTTATAGCTAACTTTGTTAGTCACATGTCGCACCATTCCTGGAAAAAGGAAGTAAGTGATTTTCACCAACTTTTCAGGAGCTTAAAAAAACTGTCCTATATTTTTATTATGGGGTCTAGAAATATGTTTCAAAAAGAAAATTGCAGGTCACAGTTGCCTTCAACTACACGTGCTATTTAATTGGGGAACAGATTGATGTACTTGGAGATAATCTAAAAAAACACGGTTACTTCTTTATTCCACGGAACACATCGCATATTTGCAGGAGTAACTACAATTATTGCTTTTTATTATTGTATTTTTAAATATATTAACTAATTTAACTCTACTTATGGCTTTGCACTCTCTTATATTTCGTTATAATCTAGAGTTGTAAGTGTAATCACGTTGTTATTTAACGAAAAATCCTTTTTTGTAAATAGAGTTACGTATTTTTAGCTAGCTATTTAATTAAGTTTAGTAGGTGTATTTATAAAAATTGCTTTTATAATGCGGAAAGTAACCGAATATTAAATTTGTATCATGCAATACCTAGTTCTTATAGTAAATAGTATATGTTTGGCAAAACTGTAAATACTGAAACAAAAT